TGTCTTCAGCAAGTGAAATGCATGCTCAATCAGATTCAGGTCAGGTGATTGACTTGGCCATTGCATAACATTCCACTTCTTTCCCTTAAAACACTCTTTGGTTGCTTTTGCAGTATGCTTTGGGTCATTGTCCATCTGCACTGTGAAGCGGCGTCCAATGAGTTCTGAAGCATTTGGCTGAATATGAGCAGACAATATTGCCCGAAACACTTCAGAATTCATCCTGCTGCTTTTGTCAGCAGTCACATCATCAATAAATACAAGAGAACCAGTTCCATTGGCAGCCATACATGCCCACGTCATGACACTACCACCACCATGCTTCATTGATGAGGTGGTATGCTTAGGATCATGAGCAGTTCCTTTCCTTCTCCATACTCTTCTCTTCCCATCACTCTGGTACAAGTTGATCTTGGTCTCATCTGTCCATAGGATGTTGTTCCAGAACTGTGAAGGTTTTTTTTAGATGTCGTTTGGCAAACTCTAATCTGGCCTTCCTGTTTTTGAGGCTCACCAATGGTTTACATCTTGTGGTGAACCCTCTGTATTCACTCTGGTGAAGTCTTCTCTTGATTGTTGACTTTGACCCACATGCACCTACCTCCTGGAGAGTGTTTTTGATCTGGCCAACTGTTGTGAAGGGTGTTTTCTTCACCAGGGAAAGAATTCTTCGGTCATCCACCACAGTTGTTTTCCGTGGTCTTCTGGGTCTTTTGGTGTTGCTGAGCTCACCGGTGCGTTCCTTCTTTTTAAGAATGTTCCAAACAGTTGTTTTGGCCACGCCTAATGTTTTTGCTATCTCTCTGATGGGTTTGTTTTGTTTTTTCAGCCTAATGATGGCTTGCTTTACTGATAGTGACAGCTCTTTGGATCTCATCTTGAGAGTTGAGAGCAACAGATTCCAAATGCAAATAGCACACTTGAAATGAACTCTGGACCGTTTATCTGCTCATTGTAATTGGGATAATGAAGGAATAATACACACCTGGCCATGGAACAGCTGAGAAGTCAATTGTCTCATTACTTTTGGTCCCTTAACAAGTGGGAGGCACATATGCAAACTGTTGTAATTCCTACACCGTTCACCTGATTTGGATGTAAATACCCTCAAATTAAAGCTGACAGTCTGCAGTTAAAGCACATCTTGTTCGTTTCATTTCAAATCCATTGTGATGGTGTACAGAGCCAAAAATGTTAGAATTGTGTCGATGTCCCAATATTTATGGACCTTACTGTATTAGTTTCACCTTTTAAGTTGCATTACTGAAATAAATGAACTTTTGCACGATATTCTAATTTTTCGAGTTTCACCTGTATACTCTTTTACATTTTTTTGATATTTTAGTTTTTAGTGTTCATTATTATTTTTTTTTTTACAATGATAGTGGTAGGTTTACATATAAAGTATGAACTAATTTTAATAATCTGGGTTTTAGTGCCCGTTCACATATATGCAGATTGGATGCGGTTTGAATTGCATCCAAACTGCATATGTGAAAAAACATTGCTACCTATGGTGCCTGTTCACATATGTCCAATGCACTGGCTGTGTGGATTCAGTGCAAATTCAAAAAGGGTCCCGTCCGATTTCTGAGCAGTGCGGTTTGGTTCATGGGTGGATTACAGGCTATTGACTTTTATGGGAACCGTTTCTAAACCGCATATGTGTGAACAAGATAAGATCCTGAGCTAATCCTGTCCTGAACCTGATGTAAACCTGACGTGAACCTGTGAACAACTACTGTATCAATTAGCTGTGAATCCACACCGCACATGTGTGAATCAGCTCTTAGGCTAAATTTGTAATATTTTAGTGTTTATTTTTGTGATCATTTTAAGATTAAATCAGTCAAGTTGTTTTACCCTTAATTGCACACTATTTACTATGGATCAGTTTAGTAACTGTGAGTGACCCAAAGAAGCTATAGCAGCGGTATTGTTTTGTTTCACATGACAAATGACAGGTTTGAGAAAGGGGCATGAAGCCCAGAAACATGTTGCCTGCCATGACCCTACCCACCTCCACTGCTCGGTTTGTTGGAGGGGTGTCTTGATTACTTAGTATACTAAGAACAGCACTGTGTGTATTTAAGCTGGCAGCTTCTGCTCCTGTCTTCTCCCTCACTGAGTCTTGCCTGGCTCATGCCTGTGTGTGGTCCCAAACATTTCCGCATGCAGATCTTTGCTATTGTAATTGGAATCTTTGTTTTTATGGATTAAAGGGTGCTAGATCCTAATGTATCCATTCACCCTTGCAGTTTGCTTTCATGCTGTTGGCCTCGTTCACACTGCGTGTAGGAGGAACTCACATTCCCGCTCGCAATTCTGTGTTAGTGGTTCTAATGCGATTCCATATGTTACACAAAGGGCAGCCCATTCACTTGACTGGGCTGTTCTATTTGCATTTGTTGTGGCGAAAAAGCTCAGGGACCAAATTTTGACCCTGAGCCAGACAAAATTTTACACATGCATTTTGCAGTGCGATAGATGTGGCAAAATCACACCACATTTGGGATGCCATTCAGGCATGTGTGTTGTAAGTTTTGCCTCGATTTGGAATGTGGGAACAGGGCCTAAGGAACACACTGATGAACCACAATCCAGAACCCACTTTTCAGATTTCAGCCCCCGCAGTGATGTAATCCTTTTTGTGCTGCTTTTTGTTTTTTGTGTATTTCTATGAATATCAAGTCTGTGTTCTGTACTGTTCTCCAAGATATGGAAATTTCTGGTAAGTCTATTTCATATCTTAAATGTGTGAATACTTTTTCAGAGCCTGATTCTAGGCAATTTTTCTTTAGGATTTGATTGAGTGGGGAGCTATAATTCTCACAAGGGCACTCTCGGCTGCTCCCACTTATCTTTATTTAATCCGTTGTGAAAAACAGCACGTTACAAACCGCTAAAATCCATGCAGCCAATTTAATTTGCTGTTTGCCAGTTTTCTCATGGCAATCGAGCCTTTGAAAAAGCTTAGGAGGTATCAAGTGAACTAGTCATTGGCCAGATGAATTTGAGCAGTTTTCAAAGAATAAGTTCACCTTTTGTAACATGTTACACCTGTATTCAGGGTGTGTAACATGTTACCGTTTCAGCAGCCTCCCCCCCCCCCCCCAATCCCCGTTGTGGCAGCAGGCTGGGGATCCTCTCCCTGCACCCGCTGTCACCTGGCTGCATCATTCATTCACAGAGTTCTTTGAATGGGAGAACAAAAACGGCTGTATAATAATTAATGAATGACTACAGTTACCTGCCAGATGTTCAACCTGATTGAACATCCATGCTGATGTATTCAACTTTACAATCCATGTTCCTCACACAAACCTCCTTCTGTATAATAATTAATGAATTATTATTATTATACAGTATTTATATAGCGCCAACAGTTCGCTCAGCGCTGTCTTTTTTCTTTTTAATGAATGACTACAGTTACCCGCCAGAGGGTGTTTTCCCGATTGATTGGGTTGCCTGGAACATTTATCAGTCTATTGATTCAAAGTCAGGACTTTGTCCTTCTAAAATTACTTATGGCACAACCTTTATGAGGGTGGTAGCCCTCTGATGGTCTTCGCTGGATGAGCCACTGAGAGTGGATTGCTTTGCCACTATACAGCCTAATTATCCACTGATGCGGTTTACTGATGGTTTCAATTGGGGACAAGTTGATTAATTACAATCAGAATGAAGATCCATGCTGAGTCTGTTCAACTTTATAATGTCTTTCACACAGACCTCCTCCTGCAAATTAATTTTATGACTGACTACAGCTATCAGTCAGAGGGCGTTTTCCTTACTGATTGGTTTGCCTGGAACATCTATTAGTCTATTGATTCCAAGTTAGGATCTTGTCCCTCTAAAATTACTCATAGCACAACCTTTATAAGGGTGGTAGGACTTTTAGGTGTTTGAGTTCCTAATTTAAATGATGAATTTCTGCAGTTCTATACATGACTGAGAATTATATAATCTTGATTGATACAAACCGTGATTTATATGCATGACTTCATCTCTTTAGGATTTAGTTATTCACCTATGTCTGTGCTCCGCCCCCACACATCTTCTTTACCAGGTCATATGGGATGACTTTGTGGTGGTGAATGTGAGCCTTGTGATATACCATTTTGGGGATTGACATCTTACAATTTTACATCTTACCCGGGCTTTCCTAGTTTTAAGTGACACCGTTGTCATATTTTAATGGTGATGGATGGAGACTATTTAAAATTTTTGTACATTCTTGTGCATATGTATAATATGTGAATCAATAAAGGTTTTTTGTATCGTTAAAACTATCTGGGTCACATGAGAGTACCTTCTTTTCTATGGGGGCTCTCCTCCATATATCTTTTTATCTAATGTCTTTGGGTACTATGATCCGCACCTTGATTTTTGGTGAGTTAGTTAACACTATAACATTTAATTCCCCTGTGTGGCATTACAGTGGTTTCCTCTGTATCGCCCCCTTTTTTCTTTTATATTTCATTAGTATAATTTGCATAGGCGTTGGAGTGTTAAAAATGCCCCTCAAACACCTGCTTTTAATGCCAGCGTGAACTAGACCTAAGGGCCAGTTCACACTACATGCATTTCAGTTGCTTTTTTTCTGCATCCAAAACACACAGGAAGTAGGTTATATGGTTTTTAATGTCATAGTTCAGATCAGTGCTTGCAGTTCCAGTGCGTTCAGGTTGCAGAAGAAAAAGTAGAACAGGCTGCATTTTTCCTGCACAGAACTGTCTGGTAAAACGCATAAAAAACGCACTGTAACGCACCACAAATGCACTGAAACGCACATGTCCCTATTTAAATTAAAGAAAAAGAAAGGTGCAAAAAATGAACTGGAATGCATAAAAAACACACAAAAATGTGTAAAAAAACGCATCAAAAACCCACTAGAATGACCAAAAACGCGCATGCAAAAACGCATCCGGAACGCATCTGAACTGCGTTTCTATAGTGTGAACCGGCACTAATAGTTATCTTTTTCATCTTGTGTTTAGAGAGATGACATGGAAGCAATCCCAGGGTACTTATCTCTTCATCAAACTGCAGATACTATGACCTTAAAATGGACACCAAACCAGCTTATGAATGGCTCAGTTGGAGATTTAGACTATGAGAAAAGGTAATATTATATTAAAAGTCTGAACTGAATTTGATGCTCTGAATTGTTTTGCATGGAGTATTTATGAAATAAATGTTCCCAATTACATAACAGTACTTTGTATAAGCTTTATGTTAACAGAACTTTTGCAAATGTTAACAGGGCACTGGAAGCTGGACTTTCTAAACTGTAAAATGTGACATATTTCTGAGCACACCAACCAATGTAATGTGGTATTATTTCTGTATTGCCTCTAGGCGTATATTCCAAGCAAAGCTTCCGAGTTGCATGTTACTACTTATAAATGATCAAATAAATGCAGTCTCTGTTATAGGTTATTACTGCATCCAGCCTTTTTATCAAATATCCAATTGAAGTTTGCAAAACACATGACCTGTAGCTACAAACTTGTAATTTGAACAGCATTCCCGGGTATCTGCATTTAAAATTGAAAAATGTGGCTCCATCTATTCCTTCAAAATTGACCAGGTAATATTAGTTGTGTCTCTTGCTCTAGTATGTGTGTGGGATACTACTTTGGGTCAGGTGCTGAGTTCTGCAGATTTTATAATCAGCCCTATATAGAGATCAAGTAGCCCTGTTGGTATGTAAAGAGGTAATGGTTATTATTGTAATTTATACTTTTGCCTGTGCTTGTCTGCTTGATCACTGAATCCAGTCTTTGGTCTGTATATGAATAATTTGATGGTTGTAAGAGCAGGAAACATCATAATGGAAAAATTGGGAGGTAAATTGTGATTACCAAACAGCAGGGGAACCATTTAATAGTAGAAGTACATTTTAAGGTAGCAGCTGTACAAAACTGAATCTAACGGACAGATATTTCATAAAGGGTATCATGACATTTCTGTGTTGCACATGCCCTTTTGTTTTTTCTTCTTCCAATGAAAAGGCAATTGAAAAGTGTGAATAAATAATGAGTAACCTCTCCTTAATACCTTGGAAATACCTTGGAAATGAAGAGAAATAGTACAATTTTATGCCATTTTTTCTGATGCAGGCAAACAACATAGGAATGTTTAATAGTACCATAAAACATAATGAAATCTTGTGAGATTATTGTAGTTTCTGTATACTATAACATAACATCAGTATGATTGAATGTGTTGAAAGCATTAAAAACTGATTCATACAATCAGACAATGAAACCATTTCAAGGACAACCAATGATATACAAGATTACTTTATTCAGAAAGAACCAACAATATATGCAGTTCTTTACAGACAGGTAAAACAATGTGCTTGTCATAGTCAGATAGCACATGCTTGGTTGTTGGATCAATTTAGAGAGAACACCTATTAATAAGCAAGTCTGTTTAAAAATGCAGGGAAGGAAAGTAACATGAAAATTCCATGCAGAAAGTGCTTCTTTAGGAACTGGACATCTGAGTTGTATCAATTTCTAGTTGTTAAAGTGTTTGCAAAGTCAATTTTTTTTCTATCAAAATAATAAACATGTTCTATATATATAGAGCAGCCCCAATTGGGTCTCCAAGCAGGCTCCTGGCCCCTCCTCTTTTTAGTGTGCCACCGAAGGAGGCTGTTTTCCATTGTGTCACCTGTGGGCTTGATCCTGACCCGCACAGCCTGCGTCTCTAGACACAGACAGTGAGTCACAGCCCTGCCCCCTGTCTCTGTCCCTCATCACAGGATTTGACTGACAGCAGTGGGGGCCAATTAAATGGTGAGCTGGAGTTTGACTCCGATTTGATAGTATAAGGAAAATCTGCTAGGCCATCTAACATGTCCCTACCCCCCCCCCCCCCTTCTCCTACTGGCAATGCTTCTGTCTTAAGGTGCACCTGTGCTCCTTCATCCAGAGTGGGAGCTCACTAATACAGGAGGTGTGTTACTGACCAGATTACCAGGTGAAAAAAGAGGGGAAAATCCGAAAAAAGAAAACATATACTGCCAGCACATCTACTGGTTGATTGATAAAGCTCAACAATCGCACCAAAATAGTGCTTGCACCTTTTTCTTTTTTTTTTATTGTCTTATTGTATCATAACGCATTAAGATACCATGCATTTTGTAATTTAGCACATGTACATTTGGTGGTGCATTTGGGGAGTCATTAACCCCCCTGGCGGTATTCCCGAGTGTAGCTCGGGGTAAAGTTTCAGTACCAAAAGCGATAACCCCGAGCTACACTCGGGCTTACCATGCGGCGCTGCTCCGGGATCCCTCGGTCACTTACCTTGTCCTGCGCTCCCGCGATGTCTCTCCTGCAGTGTCCCAGGCAATGTAATCTGGCGGATGCCGGCATCTGTCATCTGGGTTCCGTCCCCTGCGAGCGTCGGAACGTACGGGGACGGAACTGGCGGGAAATTTGAAAATGACATATTGTGACATTCACTCAGTACACTAAAATCACATAGTAAAACATTACTGTATCAAACCATTTCATGTACATTTTGTCCCTAGTGCTTTGTCCTGTGCCCTGCCTGCATTTTTTTTTCTGTTCTTTCTGCCTGGAAACTGAGAAACGCCCATAGCATCCAAAAAGCGTCCCTTTTAGGTCAAAAGCGGTTTTAGACCAGCTAGAGAACAGCGATAGTAAATCAGAACCACTTGCAGAATTGAGTGATAATGATTTGTGGGGAAATTCGTCATCAGACACTGAAAACGATTTTGTGACTTTGTTCAGTGATGTGCGAACTTGGAGCTCTATTTGAAATTTCAGTGTTTTTGGTTTGATTATATTATTGAAATAAAATTATTATTATATTATTATTTTTTATGATTCTTTATTAAATTATAATTTATGGTTTTGTGTTTCAAATTTTATCATACCCGGGATGTTTACTAGACTCTTGTTCGGACAGATTTCAGTGAGTTATTCCTAAAAATTACAGGCCTACAATAAAAAAAAATACATATTTCCATGCAAAAAAATGTACCGCTTTGAGCACAGAAATATAGACATAATCAGACCGCTAGGGAGGTTTAAGGGACACACAAAAAACTCTGGTTTAAAAAAAAAATGTATTCAAATGTGTATTTAAAACTCAGAATGCCTTCTATTACTCTCAGCCTCCTTCAGTTCTCCAAACTCAATATTTAGCTGCTTTAATCCTGTTAGAGGGTGGCTGGGTTCACTTTTCATGGTTTCACTGTACGTAGGAATGCAGTCACCCTCTCTTGCTCACTCCCAAGAAGGACTAGGGAGTATTGGATTTGTAGTCTACATAGAGCAGTGCACATGACTATACCTAACGTGCAGTGCTCAGTCCAATTACAGAAGTGAGGGGGGAAAGGATTGGCTCAGGAGCCCATGGAGGACATTACAAGGATGCAGAAAAACACAGTGACAAATAGATTACATGGCCACTGAGTAGCTGATATATATGCATTATTTCTGGAAAATAAAGATATTATTTAGGGTCACTGTAAGAATGAATGGCACTATACCGCGCCTTGTGAAACATAGTGTTGCACGTGTTCCTTCTTTGCATAGATGTAAAATGGGCCTAATACTGATGTGAAAAAAAGTAGGTTATAATGGAGTGGTATTGTTGCCAGAAATATGTCAGCCCATACCTGTCAGTCACTACTCATAAGCAGTTATTCTTGATGTTGTAGAGAAGTGTGGGTAGCTGAAGACATATGTGAGAAGAAATGAGCTGTACAGGGTTTACACAAATGTGTTTAAGATTTAAACAGATTACATGCAATCTGTTCATTCTGACTTTTATTCTATTAATGCTCACTTCAACAAAATGTACAGTTTTGTTCCGTGGAACAGCCTGTAAAATATTTCCTGTTTCTACTATTTTTCTTGCATTCATTATCACCTACAGTGCCAGATTAAATGTGTGCTCATCCTGTCAGTAACCTTTTAGGTAGTAAACATTAAAGCAGAACTACACTGCATCTGAGCACCAACTACACTGTAATTAATTTTTAATATTCAAAGCAAACCTGTCCATCCATGTCCCCAAGCTTTATTTTGCTGAGAAATCACTTTGAGAAAAAAAAAACCTAGCATTTCTGGCCATGGCCAACTTGAGTAATGGCAGATTATATATGTGGCATTTACTTTCTGGAATCCATCTGCCCCTAGCTCAGGTATACAGGCAGAAGGGTGTGTTAGGCTAAGAGTAAACCCCCCTCCTCCCCTCGTGAAGACTTATGGGATGTATGACATCACTTGCCTAGGCCTGGAGACCAGGAAGTAACTGAAATGTAGAAAAAAAAAATTTTTTTTAAAAGTTAATATATTTTTCTATCTATTTACTAATGCTAGCAGCATAAGGATTAAAAATAGTCAATGCTGATTGAGAGAATGAAGTTCTGCTTTACAGTAAATACATAGTATCAGGGGAAAATTGATTTACAATACACTCTGTTTTAGAAAAATAAGGGAGGAGGAGAAGACCAACAAAAGACCACCGAAACAATAACCCTGGTTTTGCCAGAATCTCCTATTTTTATCCCTTTTCTTTGTTTTTGTTTTAGTGTTTATTGGGACTATGCAATGACTATTCGCCTAGAAGAAATAGTATATCTACATTGTCACCAGCAAGGTACACACTAGCTCAGTCACTTCTATATTGAAGTTTTTGTGTGTTTTTTTTTGATAATGCATTTATTTATTTTAGATGAAGTATGTCTCTATATGTGTTATTTATTGTTCAAAAATGTAATTGGGGCTTTAGCGAGGCCTTAAACCACTTGCCCTCCAGAGGATTTACCCCCCTTCCTGACCAGGCCATTTTTTGCATTACGGCGCTGCGTTACTTTAACTGACAATTGCACGGTCATGCAACGCTGCACCCAAATTAAATTTACCTCCTTTTTTTTCCCACAAATAGAGCTTTCTTTTGGTGGTATTGAAAAAGAAATAGACCGACAAAAAAACCCAATATTTTTGACTTTATGCTATTAAACATGTCCAGTAAAAAATCTGATTTTGTCATAAATTTAGACCAAATATATTCTGCTGCATGCTAATAAAAATCCCAATATGTGTAAACTAATTGGTTTACGTGAAAGTTATAGCGTTTACAAATGGCGGTATATATACTGGGATTCGTTTTTTTTTTACTAGTAATGGCGGCCATCAGTGACTTATAGCGGGACTACGGGATTGCGGCAGGCATTCTGACACTAGAGGGAACTGACTTGGTGTCCCTGACATCCCCAGTGACACCAGTACCGTGATCAGTGCTAATAAAAAGCACTAATGGCACTCGGCAGGAAGAGGTTAACATGGGGCAATCAAGTGGTTAACTGCGTGCTGTGTGCCGTTTTACATACTGGGCTGTGTTTGTGCTTCACTGTAAGCATACTGCTTTGCATGGCAGCTGACAGGGGAGAGAACTGTTTTGTTTACAAACAGTTCTTCCCACCCGTCTGAGATGCTCGGCAATCACCAGGCGCTGGCGAGTAATCACCGGCCGGGGCCCAGGTGATTGACAGCCGAGGCCGCAAATGGCGGTGTGGGTAAGGCGTGCGCGCCCCCTGCCTGGAAATGCAAAATCACGTATATATACGTGATTTTGCGCACTCGTGCCACCCTGTAGCAGTACTTCTGCTATAGGGCAGATGGGAAGTAGTTAATAAAATACATCGTTTTATATACACTCGACACATGGCAGCAACTCAATGCATTTAGGCATCTAGAGATGGTGAACATGACTTGCTGAAGTTAAAATCGAGCATCACAATGGGGAAGAAAGGGGATTTAAGTGACTTTGAACGTGGCATGGTTGTTGGTGCCAGATGGGCTGGTCTGAGTATTTCAAAAACTGCTGACCTACTGGGATTTTCATGCACAACCATCTCTAGGGAAATCGAGACTCCTTCAACCAGGCAACCATCACATCACTCACAACAATCTCTAGGGTTTACAGAGAATGGTCCGAAAAAGAGAAAACATCCAGTGAGCAGTAGTTGTGTGGATGAAAATGCCTTGTTGAGGTCAGAGGAGAATGGGCAGACTAGTTATAGATGACAGGCAACAGTAACTCAAATAACCAATCGTTACAACCAAGGTATGCAGTATACTATCTCTGAATGCACCTTGAAGCAGATGGGCTACAGCAGCAGAAGACCACACCAAGTGCCACTCCTGTCTGCAAAGAACAGGAAACACAGGCTACAATCCGCATTGGCTCATCAAAATTGGACAATAGAAGACGGATAAACATTGCCTGGATAGATGAGTCTTGATTTCCTTAGAGATGGTTGTGAATTAAAATTCCAGTACATCAGTGGTTTTTGAAATACTCAGACCAGTACGTCTGGTACCAACAACCATGCCATGTTCAAAGTCATTTAAATCCCCTTTCTTCCCCATTCTGATGCTCAGTTTGAACTTCAGCAAGTCGTCCTTACCACGTCCAGATGCCTAAATGCATGTTATTGGCTGATTAGCAATTTGTGTTACCAAGCAATTGAACAAATGTACCTAGTAAAGTGGCCGGTGAGTGTATATTTTAATTTATGCAGTAGGTTCGGTAATAAAACTCAACTTTTAGTTCTCTTTTAAACATGTAAATATGGGAAAAAAACACAATAGTAGATGCTCCATGCAGTTCAACCTAGAGCTGTTCTAGAAAGTACAAAAAATTAACATAGAGAACAGATTATACCGACTGCTGAGTGGGTCACAGACAGAAAAGCACACTGTTCCTCCCTGTGACAATCTGGCTTACTTAGATATAGAGTAATTCCAAATGTGCAAGCAGTGCAAGACTTTCTTATTGGAAATCAAGCATGCTTTCAAACAGAATGTAATTGATGCATCTTGTACTTTTTATTTTTAAAATAAAACCTTGTACTTGCTGTATAAGAAAGTTGGTTGGTTTGGTTTAAACATTTAAATATGTTTACAAAATCAAAAGCCACTAAAATTAAATTACCCTCACAGACAACAGAAACGTGCTATTTAAGTCTTGGTGTTTCAGCCATTTAGACAGATATAACCCCTGCTGTACTTAGTCTTGTCAGGTTGTGCAGGCTCATCTCCTGTACTGAAGTTGCAGTGCATTAGAGGATGCAGCAAGTCAAAGTCAGTCTCATTCTCATTTGCTGGCTGGAGGACTTCCAGCATTATCTAACTCTTTTATTCCTATCTTATTCCCTTCCTTACTATCCCTGGCCTTCCCCACTATCCCTGGCCTTCCTCTTTCATACATTGAATTTCAGTTCTTTCAATCATGGAGATTCGGCATAACGTGTTAGCATTACTTAGGTTGGTTTGGAAGCAAATATAGGCTGCCTAGGAACTCCAAATGTTCCAGATTGGTATCCATTAAGGTATTTTGAAGTTAGAGAAAAAAAAAAACAATAGGCTGACTCAAGGCCAAAAAAATAACAAACCTAGTTCAGAGTCCACTGGTATCCAGTAAATTACCCCTCCTCCCAATAAAGGGAAAAGAAAAATCTGACTAGTTGTCTTAACAAACCTAAATCATGGATGAATACTTCAACAAAATGCAATCTCAAGCAATATGTAACAACATTTATTATACAAAAAGTAGCCATAGACATATTAATAACCATGGTGAAAAGAGAAAATAAAAATAAAATCTCCAGGGGATGAATCTGCTCAGTTGGTACTAATTTAATATCTAGATAATGTCGGGGCCCATCCACAATAAACAAACAGCTGCGCTTTATCTGTGCAGCAGCTGTCTGTTCTGGCTGCAGTGGGCCGACAGTAGGGGGTGGTGTGGTGCATGATTAAGCACATCACACAACTCCTTTTTTTTTGATTATGTACAAACTTTATCTGAAGTATACAAAACTGACACTTCATCCATGTCACTGTACAGCAGCGCAATGCACTGTGCTGCTGTACAGTGACATTTGATCCTGTGCAGTGCACTGTGATAAAATGCAGCATATATGCATCTTATTGCAGATCACTGCATTTCTGTGTGAATATGACACATAGAAAACAACTGTTTTTTGTGTGTCTTAGCATTGATCAGTGTTTTACACCGCTGGTCACCACACTTATATGAATGGTCCATTTGTAATTCTTTTTGGCAACCATTGGTGCAGGGTCCTCTGGACTAAAGAGGAGAGGGACTGTCCTGTCCTGAGAGGGACTGTCAGCTCTCAGTTCAAATGCCTGTATCCCTGATGGTATAGGGTGGATTGGTGCATATGGAATGGGCAGATTGCATATCTGAAAATGCAACATCAATGCTGAAAGTTATATTCAGGTTTTAGAATAGCATATGCTCAGGCAAGATTAGACGGGGATGCTAGTCCGTGGTAAATATGGCCCTGTCCCAACCTTTTTGGGACATTGGGGTTGTATTTGGGACTACTTGCATTCATTAAATTTTTTAGGGTTCATCCTTATGAGGGCCTTTATCCACCAACATACTAGGGAGGGATACCCTAGTAATTGCTTATCCATTTTATTAATTTATGCTTGCGACTATTAACACACTCTCCTGCTCTTACTGATAATCTCTGCAGGAGAGGGGATTTTGATTACAATACCTAGATATTATATTGGTACCAATTGGGCGGACTCATATCCTTGAGGGAGTGGGCTTATGTGAATGTGTCAGAGATTTTATTTTTATTTTTTCTTTTCACCATGGTTTTTAACACAAGTCTGTATGGCTTCTTTTTGTATAATTTTGAAGTAGTCATACATGATTTGGATTTGTTGAGACTAGCAACCAGGTTTTTCTTTTCTTGGCAGGGAATTCATATTAAAATTTGCATAACTCCTCCTAAGAGCCAGCCCACTGACTGCTGATACCAAAGCTGAGAGATGAAAGGAGTACTGAGGCAGGATGCTGTGATATTCTCATGCCAATCTTTTCCATTCTGTAACATATTCGTTGCTACCTAAATTAATCTGTAATATAAGATAAAAGAAAGTAGTATAAAGTACATTCCTGAAACCCATTTGTGTAATTGCCGGGAATGTTGCCAAGTAACTGTCAGTGTGGTTTACAGCAAGACACTCTGACCTCTTTACATTACAAAGAGGGAATAAATACTTTAAATTAGAAAATTCCCTTATGTTGATATTTCACCTGCTACTAAAATACAGCAATACTCTTGTGGCTAACTTCTGTTTTTTTCTCAATCAACAGTAGACAGTGGTGGCACTGTGGTACTAGTCAGTCAGGACGGAATACAAAGACCTCCCCTCAGGTTTCCCCGTGGTGGACATCTCCTGCAGTTTTTATCCTGTTTGGAAAATGGTCTACTTCCACATGGGCAGCTTGATCCTCCACTGTGGTCCCAAAGAGGAAAGGTATTCCTAAGGATGTACACATTCTTTATATTTATGTTTCTGTAAAGATCATGCAGTAGTTTCATGCTAAGTTGTAGGAATGTATTTTTGTATTTTTCTGTAAAATCTTCTAGTAATTTAAATATAATGACCTCAATTCACAAAGCTAACACACCATAAATAAATACCCTTTAAAAAAAAAAACATTCAGAATGAGGGGTGAGAATTACCGAATGGCTAAATTGTAGCCTTTTCTTTGTGTAACTTTGTAAACTTACCTTAATGTATATAAGAGAAAAGCTCACAGTAATAGAAAAAAATGTTTGTAATGAACAAGGGACACAGGATTCATTAAGCCATCATGTATAGGCCACAAGACTGAAATGTTGAAGTATGTTTCCTGAAACAAAAAAACATCATCAGACCACCTTCTTATACATTTTTTTTTTTTTTTTTTTTTGCATTTTCTGTTAATTATGCAGGGTAAAGTGTTTCCCAAGCTAAGAAAGCGAAGTCCTCAGGGGTCCTCTGAATCCACCTCAGACAAAGAAGAAGATGAAGCCACAGACTATGTTTTCAGAATTATTTACCCAGGGAGTCATTCTGAGTTTGGTATGGATCTAGCTATGCTATCCTGCCTAATGACAAGTATTTTTCATGCCTTTTAAACCAAGGAAAAGAGTAGTATGACTTTGTCAGATAAATTCTATAATACCATGTTGTAAGTTGAATGCTATCGTTTTTTTTGTTTTACATTTCACATTAAGTTTCATGGTAAAAGCCTTCTTTTATTAAGTGTACACTTTTTTTTCCTAATAATTCTCATTATTAATATTCATAATATTATGCTCATATATGAAATGTTATTCTCTTTATACTGTATATGAGTAAAATATCAGAGACCTTTATACTAGTCCCAGCCCCAGAAGGAAATGAAAATGTAATGCCCCAACTTCAGTCATACACATGTGCATAAATAGCAGGCAGGACTGAGTGGAAGCCAGTTAGTTTATTAGTATGTTTGCTGTTATTGTGGGCAGAAAGCTACAAATCCTAAGTAGGATGGTTATTTAATAGACGTTATTTCTGTCCATTTGATACATTGCAAAATCTGTGTTATAAATATAAAAGTGTGCAAATGCAGTTAATCACATAAACACTTTATTTCTGGAAAGCTCTGCCAGTTTAGATTCTTAAAGGCTCTTGTGCATGAGAGTGTTTTGCATAGTTTTGATAAGTTGAGGGAGAGCTAAAGCAAAAAAATATGCAGGCTTAAAGACCATTTTTCTTTCTAGAGAAGTACCGTATTTTTCACTCCATAAGACGCACCTGACCATAAGACGCACCTAGGTTTTAGAGGCAGAAAACAGGAAAAAAAAAATTCTGAACTAATGGACTGCAGACATAGTACAGGAGATGACCAGAGACTGCAGACATAGTACAGGAGATGACCAGAGACTGCGGACATAGTACAGGAGATGACCAGAGACTGCGGACATAGTACAGGAGATGACCAGAGACTGCGGACACAGTACAGGAGATTACAGAGACTGCAGACATAGTACAGAGATGACCAGAGACTGCGGACACAGTACAGGAGATGACCAGAGACTGCAGACATAGTACAGGAGATGACCAGAGACTGCGGACACAGTACAGGAGATGACCAGAGACTGCGGACATAGTACAGGGATGACCAGAGACTGCGGACACAGTACAGGAGATGACCAGAGACTGCAGACACAGTACAGGAGATGACCAGAGACTGTGGACACAGTACAGGAGATGACCAGAGACTGCAGACATAGTACAGGAGATGACCAGAGACTGCGGACACAGTACAGGAGATGACCAGAGACTGCGGACACAGTACAGGAGATGACCAGAGACTGCAGACAGTACAGGAGATGACCAGAGACTGCAGACACAGTACAGGAGATGACCAGAGACTGCGGCCACAGTACAGGAGATGACCAGAGACTGCAGACACAGTACAGGAGATGACCAGAGACTGCGGACACAGTACAGGAGATGACCAGAGAGTGCGGACACAGTACAGGAGATGACCAGAGACTGCGGACAGCACAGGGATGACCAGGAGACTGACATAGTACAGGGATGACCAGAGACTGCAGACACAGTACAGGGATGACCAGAGATGCGGACACAGGGATGACAGAGACTGCGGACATAGTACAGGGATGACCAGAGACTGCGGACATAGTACAGAGATGACCAGAGACTGCGGACATAGTACAGGAGATGACCAGAGACTGTGGATAGTACAGGAGATGACTGCTGACCTTTGGGGAGGTGGGGAGCGGGTACCTGAATTTGACAGGTACCCGCTCCTACTTCCGCAGAGTTGTTCTTTGATCTTACCTGTTTCTCTATCCAGCCGCGCGCTGTCTTCCCGGCTTCTGTAATGACGCTCGGCATGACAGCCTGGGTGCCCAGTGCGCATGAGCGAGAAGCACTTGCGCTTTGTGATTGGTCCGGCGGCTTCTGGGATCTGTCATGTGTCCCAGGTGCCGCCTTACCATTCACAAAAAGCACCGCTTCTTGCGCATGCGCACTTGGCACCCGGCTGTCATGCCCACACTACAGAAGCCGGGAAGACAGCGCGCCGCTGGATAGAGGAACAGGTAAGATGAAAGAACAACTCTACGGAAGTGGGAGCGGGTACCTGTCAAATTCAGGTACCCGCTCCCCCCCTCCCCAAAGGTCAGCACTCATCTCTATAAGGTCCCGCTGCAGAGCTGAGTGGCCGGCCCGGTATTCTGCACGGCGGCGGTGGAAATACCGGACCAGCCGCTCCATATTCGCTCCATAAGACGCACAGACATTTTCCCCCTTTTTTGGGGGGAAAAAAGTGCGTCTTATGGAGCGAAAAATACGGTACTTCGTTTTTATACACAAAATGCAATAGATGTAGGGGTTGATTTACTAAAGGAATCGATCATGTTCGCTTTCAAAGTGAAAGTTTAATTAGCAAATATTACCCAGTCACCCCATTCCTTAAGTTAAGTAAATTTTAAATTTGCAAGCAATTTTCTATTTCGCTTAGTGCAGGGCTTGACAAATTTGCTTTGAATCTAGGAGTGAGCTAAAAAAATTGGGAGCCAAACTTCAGTACCCTATATTTTCTATAGGCATTGCTTTAAAAGCCCCTATAGGTCATCAGTTTAGCGTTATGGGAGAGGTCTGGAGGTAGAATTATTTCTCTCATTCCATGGTGTGAGGCTATATGTAACATGTGTATCACAATCAATGTTTTCATGCGTAGGCACCCCAACACTTGCATTTACATTTGTACATATCTGGGGGGGCGCTAAACATTTTTCTTTTGGGGGGGGATTTCATGTGCTTTGGTGTAAATTTAATTTCTTATAATTAAAAAAAAATGTTTTTGCCTATCTTTTTTCATCACATGGGGACAAAAAGTCCCCTATGATGGCAGGTTCTCTTTACTGAGACATGAAGGGTCTAAAAGACTCTGCATGTCTCTCCAGTGATCCACTGAATATAATCGAATGCAGTGAAGATCGCACTGCATTAAATTCTTACCAGGCCATACTAGGAAAACTGTCAACAGGGACCTGGAAGTGATGTCACACACGTTGCTTCCAGGTAAGGAATGTGTGTCCGCAGTCTTCCTTCCCCTCTACCCTGTGGCACTCACTATGCCGACCCTGCAGATGGGCAAGCAGAGCCCAGGTTACATAGCAGGGGGCAGGCTCGAGGTGGCACTTTACCCATATGTGTGGAAGCAATCGGAAGCAGCGGAGCCACCCAAATGCTTCCACCTGACAAGCAATTAGAAAAAAAACTACCTGCCCAGCACCTGGTACTGCATGTCCAAGGCATTGGCAATACACATTGTGCATACCTGTAACAGTTAATGGGCTGACAAAAGCCCAGGCACCAGGATTTGTCAAGCCTAGGCTTAGTGAGTGAGTGAAAATGTGATGACTTCAATCATCCAATCATGTGCAAGGTCTCATTTGGCTCTCCCACAACACCACTCATTAAGATGAGTGAACATTTTACTAAATCAGGATCAAAATAAATCAGGGTTATAGACTCCAAAGTGGCTCTCTGTTTGACCCTACCACATACCCATTGTTTTACCCCATGTGCAAAGTCTTTTAAAGGACATTACCAAATGCACCTGCTATGTCCTTGTCTAGTTATCAGATATTTTACTTCTAGTGCTGAAAACAAATTGCCACGTGAATAGTTAAGTATTCTGATCAGCCTGTGTGCAGCAATGTTTTTTCCATGCGTGCTGTTGAAAGTATTGGTTTTTCCTGAGATTATCACTACCCCCTATGTCAGGTAAATTTCAAAAGCCCCCTATGGGCTGTCTTGCTTTTTCTTGCAGTTGCACAGTTTACATGAGCTATAATGTTAGATCTGAAATCCCATTCAAAACACAGTTACAAATAATGAGAAGGCTATCTAGATAAGTACTGCCAGTGTTTATTTATCCTTATTGACTTTCCATCTTCCTTTTGTAGTTACCTTGCATCATTATTCTCATCCTCCAGATTCAAATCTCCCTTGTTCCACTTCCATTTACCACGTGAGGTCTAAGAGCCCAGCAAGTCAGACTACAGTGATCCAAAAGCATTCTGAGACATCTTGTCAGGACCCCACCGTATTGGGTCTGCTGTAAACACCCCTTATACTATTTATAACACCCCTTGTGCTGAATAAACCATGTTGCCATCTGGGATATAAAGAATCCCCAAAAATAACTTTATTTTTGAATGTGGTTCATAACTGTGACTAAAAGACTGACTTAGGTACTTTATGTAAGTCATCAATCTTTATATGATTCTTTATAAGTGTAATTTCCTGTATCTCTTTTTTTAAGCACGTTATTTACAGTTATACTTTTATTTATAAGAAAGATCCACTTGTGGTAATCCTTCCAAAAGCCACTTTTAAGAATGCTAAAATGCCTTAATTATTGTCTTCTGCCTTTGTGGTGCCATCAAAAATATAATTTGAGCATAAAGAAACTCACACACGAAAAATGTATCATATGCCCTAATTATGCTTGTTTACACAATGTATTTTGTAATGTACTCAGCCTAAGTGTTGCTCACCCGTGAGGTATATAGTACAAAACCTGTAGTTACACTGCTTAGTAGTGCAGACTAATGCAGTTAACATATAAGAATGTGAGAGCCCACTAATGGCTATGGTCCTATTCCATAAGAATGCAAAGAACTGTAATGATATGCAATATTCTGTAATCTATAGCAAGCCTTCTGTTAACACCATTATTTGTTTGGAACAAGCTAGCCAATTGCTATGGATTGCTTTATTCTGCACATTATTCTTAGCATTTTAAATAAATCAAAATATACCAGTAAATGTGGACAATGTCTAGTAGATATTAATACAGGCAGCCGTTTTTTTTATTTCCTACTTTGTCTTATATCCTTAACAAATGGCAGCATGGGGTTTCCAGCTCCTATCCCCTATCCTGTAAAAAGTGATACAGTATTTAAAAATACTCAGGGGATAAGATTGGTCATATCGTAGTAATTGTGATTGATCATTATACTATTACGTAATCAAAATTAATTTTAACAAATTATGCCATGATTGGTGAAAAACGTAACGTAATCACAAATAATTTCTGTATAATTATTTAATTATTAGCAATTTTGATTTAAAATCTGATAATCAGATTAAGAAACTGTAATCTTACCTGCAGATCTCCACAATGTACTGTTATATCACATTAACACAAAAGTCTTCTTAAACCTGCAAAAAAGATTTTTATATTGTTAATTGTCTTAAAAAATAACAAATTAAAGGATAACTGTAGCACAGTAGTGTAATTGATACATACAGGGATATCAATCAATATTGCAAATATAACCTAGCTCTTGCTTTTTTTTCCCTGTACCTTGAGACCTGTAATCATATTCAGGATCAGGCTAATGTAAACATTGCACTATTTTCAACTTGTCTGCACTGTGACTGCGTACAAGGAGATAAAGCAAGGAAGGCATCTGCCTCAAATACTTGTTCAAATCAACATTTTCAGTGCTGTAGCCAGAAATAAAACATTCTATATTTCACTTATTTAATGTAATAACAGGAGATCACAAACTGTTAAAGCTGGGAACTCCTGCATTAGTTAAGTTGCAGTGTCAAATGCACGTGTTCAGATTAGAATTGACAACACAGAAGGTAGCAGTGATATCACTAGATATGGATTGGAATGAACTGGTCTTTGTTACATAAGGTACTCTCCCTGACTTTTCTATATCAAACTGCACTACGTACTATATCCTAATTGTACAGTACAGGACACAGGCTGGGTGTTCATAGACCCTGGGTTATAGCCTGTGTACCTTCAGGTGATTGGACACTGGCAAAGTTTTGCGGACATTCTCTACTAGGTGTAGCCCTATAACCCTACTCCACTTTGTGGGAGCTCAGTTTTTTGTTCGTATCCTAAGGTGATGGAACCCTTCTCCCTTATGGAGAAGTCATTTTCTTCAATAGTTTACTACTTTAGTTCAAATTCTTTAATCAACTCTTCAAAGTCTTTTAATTCAGCAGTAGAAGCAGTGTATTCGAACGGGTGCAAGCTCGATATGACCTTGGGATCTGTACCTGAACCCCACACTGTGGGGAAGGCCTGTAATAATGCTTTCGGGACAATATCCTAGTTGGGTGCTTACTTTGACAGTTTGTGTAAGGTGGGTTGTAAGCCACAGGGTGCTATGCAGGTCTAGGGTTATGGTCTATCTTTATGGAACTCAGACCTTAAAGTCCCCCCGTGGGGTATTCCTAACTGCCTTTGATGGGTAAAGTCTGGACCCTAATTAGGTATCAGTGATATGGACAGGTAAGAGAGATTTACCCTGTACTGGGCCAATACTTCTATATAAGAATTGTTTTGTGTTAAAAATGATCAGGAAACTGGGAGTTATGTTTAAATATGGTTCACTTGTACAGTGTTGAAATTTTTTAACTTGTCAGTAAAAATTCTACCATTCAGAGTGTAGTCTCAGGTGGATAACTAGGTATTACATGAAAACACAAGTCACACTGTTACCAACAGCTTCCACTTACAGTCCCTTTTAAGGGTACTCCAGCACTTCTTACTGCCCTTTTGCTTACAGGGAGGTCTACACACGGGTTACTGCATACTCCTTCACGGGTGCGCTTACTCCATTTCCATGACCTACTCCATGAGTACCCCACAGGGGAATATCCTCACCGATAGCAGTGGTAAAAAACAGGGAAAAGGGAACTGTGGCAGATGTTCATGTGAACATTTGCTTTGCCAAAGGCCCACAAAACACTCATACAGTGGTTTTTTGGGGTTTTTTTCAACTCTTTATTTTCAGTTTTATAATCACAAAACCAAGTACGTGTACATACAGTCACAGTTAAAAAATAGCAGGGAGGAAGGACTGCATTAGGGTTGCATAAATAAACCGTAAAGCATCTGAAATTCCAGATGATAATAGGATGAGAAATCTGGGATATAGGGTATAGAAGCATAGGACCTGATTTTAACATCAGTATCTGATTCTGGCTTGCAAATATGTCACTTTCTTGGACAACTATCTGCTTAAAGAATATCTGCTTAAAGTTCACCTTTGCTAAAAAATAATAAATGCACATTTCTTTGCAGGTAAAAAAATGTGCATTTATTATTTTTGGTTGCAGGAGCCTGTAAACCATTGCACCATTGCCGATCGCTGGTGCCATGCAGGTCTCCTGCAGACCTGTCAGTATATCTGCTTGCCCATCCGGGAAAAGCAGATATACTGACAGGAAGAACCAATGAACTACCACGGTGCGCCACAGTGCCGTGGTAGTTCATTGAGAACTACAAGCCAACATCCACTAAGGTTGTCGGAATTTGTAGTTTCTCATTCACAGAGGACTGTGAATGAGTGACGGGCGGACAGAGCATTACACGGCCACATTTTGTAAAAATTTTGACAGCTAGTGGAAGGGGAAGATCTCAGCTAGCAGTTAAAGCGGTGGAGTGGGGGCCAGTCTATTCTAAACATGGTACATGTTACTCCCTGAGTATGGGTGTAACATGTATCATGTTATAAAAGGTGAACTTATCCTTTAATACAGCCATCCCTGTCAAGAACACAAAACCACTTGTCTGTGAGTCTGAGAGTGAAATACCTCCTCTAGAGGATGCATATATTGAGAGGGATGAAGAGGACCTAGAGGCAACATTAGAGGAGGCCGCAGAATATTTCTCACTCCCAGCTTCTCATTCACCTGATGTTATGAATTCACGCAATATGCTTGCCAATGTAGATGTGCTCAATTTTGTGTGCAAAAACCTTGGCCTTAATACACTCGATTTGCTTCCATCTCACGATTTCCCCTTGGGTACTAAGAGACCTGGTAAGCCTTAAAAAGACATTCCCCATTCATGAACAAATAGAATGGGTAATTTATGCAGGTTGCGTTAATCCTCAAAAAGTTGTCACCCCACCAAGAGTCATTGGCAAGTTCTCTGTTCAAGTGGATGACCATGCTCAGACTTAAACAAACGTACTACAGTAGGTATAGAAGACATCCCCTTATTTAAAGATTTTGCTGACAGAATTTTAGATGCTTTTTAAGGCTTTCTACAACCTTACTCTCGCAGCTCTGCAACTGACTGTTGCTGCAATTTCTGTTTGGCAGACCGCAGCTAAATGGACTACAGTAATGAACAACCAACAGGATCATGTCTACTAGGATCAAGCCTTGTCCTACTGTTTTGTGCTGATGTCCTAGGGTAAATCATAAAACAGATCTCCAGAATGGCTCTAATTTATATCCACATGCGTAGTGAGGTTAAAAACTGGACCAGCTGAAGCTACCTGGAAATGTCACCCCACACATATGCCCTTTTGAAGGAAGAAGTCTATTTGGAGGGGTACTTGACAAGTTCATCCAAGATATTGCAGGAAGCAAAGTACTGCTTCCACAATGGAAGGTTCCTAATCCCCATTCCTCAGGGGCTTCTACCTACTGAAAAAGAAAGGTGCTTCATTGCTCTACTCGGGCTTTATCTTTAAAAACAAAACTCAGTTCTTCCTTTTGGTGCAAGACTTGGAACATAAAATCTACCAAGTCCATCCCAAAATCATCTTCACAATAAATTGGGTGCCCTCTCTCCTAAGAGTGCGGGGAACCTCTGTTACCGTTTGCCTTTCTCTGGGTAGCAGGTGTCAAAGGAGTACAAAGTAAAGTTTAAAATTCAACTCAATGTTTTCTCTTCTCAAACCAACGGCAGTCTTTTCTTTACATTAGTAGACATCCAGAATGCTTATCTATACTACCCACCCACCTCATCAGCACTTCCTGTGCTTCGTAGTAGGAGACAAACACGTCCAAAGTTGTCTCTTTGCCCTTTAGCCTATCCTTTGTACCCAAAGTATTCATAAAGATACTTGCACCTCTTCTTGCACTTTTAAGAACTCAGGGCATTCCAGTAACAGGTTACCTAGACAAACGCCTTCTGAAGGTCTCATCTCCATTTCAACGTATCTGTACATGTCCAAAGGACTATTCAGATGTTTCAGGACTTCAGTTGGGTAATCACGTTTCAAAAGTCTGCTCTCCAACCTCTTCTTTATCTAGAATACTTAGCCTGGTTCACACTGGTGCGACTTCAGATGCAACATGCAATTTACAAAATGCACCTAAAGTTACATCTAATGTATTTCTATGACACAGTCTTAATCAGTGCGATTTGAAGTAGCACAATTCAAAAATAGTTCCTGCAACACTTTTTTCTGATTTCATTGCAACTTGCATTGACTTCAATTAAATGAAGTTGCAAACTGCAGTGAAATCAGAGGTACAAATTGCACTGATCTGTGGCTTTCAAAGTTGCACTTAGTGTGAACCAGGGCTTAGGCCTTAATCTGAACACAGTTCACGCCCAGGTCTTTCTTCCAGAAAACAAAATTCTGTCTCTAAGATCTCATACTTGGATCTTAAGATCAAAGCCGCATTCCTCAGTAAGACTCTCTGAGAGTTCTGGTCTTCATGGTAACCTCATACTAGGCTATACCCTTTTCTCAATCCTATTCAAGGCCTCTCATTAGCAACATCTTGTTGGCCTGGAACAAGCACAGTCTTTCTCTTGACCTCCCTCCAGAAAAATGTACTGTCATACCTGGAAATCCTTTGCCTGGTGTAAACACAGGCAGTTCAATCCTAGAAAATTCTCTGCCTTACATTCTGGCCTTCCTAGAATTGGGACTTGACCAGAATTTTGCCTTAAAGTGTTACTAAACCCACAACAGTAAAATTAGTCTGTATATACAGTAAAGCATGCTTGTTATAATCACTGTGGAACCTAGGGGGGTTAATCCTCTTCATTGTATAAAAAGGCTGTTTGATCCTGACTTCTCCAATCCTCCCCTTCTTCCAGTGCCCCCCTCTCTTCTACTGATAAGACCTATCGTGTGTTGTCACTCTGCACATGCTCAGTTTGGTGTGTATTGCTAGAGAGGTTTTTTTTTTTCCCTTTCTTTGGAGAGTGCGTGTGATCATCACAGGGCCAGTCAGCGCTGTCCAGACAGAGGTCAGGGGTTCTGCATCCTCCTAGAGCAGAATGAAAACTCCATCTGCAAGCTTTAACATGTGCTCTGCTGGACACTGATAGAAGTCACAAGACTGCTCTAACTGCTGATGAGAAAAAGTATTTAGCAGTTTATATTTACTAAAATAACTGCACTTCCATGTTCTGTGTACTGTGAGAGACCAGATATAGTGAATGCAGGGTCCTGGATTTAGTTTAAGTATTCTTAAGGGACAGGTTTAGGTCTTGTCCATTTTATTACAAAAAACTTCTAGCTCAATTTTCCTTTGTAAAAAACCTTTATTCAAGGTGTTCCTCGGATTAGACCACCCTTACAATACCCCATGCTCCTTTAGGGCTTCAATTTGGTTCCCTCTGCCCTGCAGAACCATCCTTTGAACCCATTAGGGAACTCTCCTTGGATGATCTTCCCTGCAAAATAGTTTTGTTGATGGATATTATGTCAGTCAGACATGTCTTAGCATCTATCTTTTATAAGGACAGAGTTGGCAGCTCTTTTTCACAAGGACAAAGTAGGCTTGCTCCCATATCCCACCTTTCTTCCTAAAGTGGTGTCAGCCTATTACCCCACTGAAAACAATCCTCCCTTTGTGCCCTGTTTCTAAGTACCCAAAGGAGATTTCTCTTTATTTTTTGGATGTGGTCAGAACCGTCCGAGTGAACCTATAACCTACAGTTTCTATTAGGAAGACAGACTCTTTATTTTCCTACCCTCAGGACCTCGCAAATGCCATCATTCTTCAAGATCCACCATTGCTAGGTGGATAAGACAACTCATTTCAAAAGCTTACACCCTAAATGATAAACCACCACATTCACTAATATGTGCTCACTCCACCAGGTTGGTAGGAGTTTCCTAGGCATTCTGACATCAAGCCTTTGTTGCCCAGCTTCTGCCATCTGGTTTTCAGTTCATACGTTCTCCAAGGTCTGGCAGGTGGATGTTCAAACTTCTGTGGATGCAGGTTCTTGCAGCGGTCTGTTGTCTTTGTTATTGTTAGGCCTGTTGGTACAGTTCTGTTTACCTTGTTGTTGTTCACCATGTTTATTCATTGCTTAGGAACATCCCATGGTCTGTGAATATCCAACTTGTATCCTCTACTGTACAATAAAGGTAAAAGTAATTTTGACTTACCTGCAAATAACATATCTTGGAGTATCTTCCTTCCCCCCTGTTCTGTGTTACTGTTCATTGCTTGCATAAAACTGAGCTGTCACGGCGTGGAGTGGGTTATAGGGGTAGGCATGTCCAGTAAATCTTTGCCAGTGTCCGATCACCAAAAGGTATCAGCCTGTATCCCAGGGTCTATGAAAATCTGTGTCCTGTAATGCGCTCCAAGTTCTGTTAGACAAGTATACAGTATTTAAATCTTCTGTGCTTGCTCTATCAGCCACTGCAGTATATGAAGTATGATGATCATACCTGTGAGTCAAGGAGAGAATAGTGGGTGAAAGAAACTTTACAACTTATTCAACCCGTGAGAGAAGTGGATTGGGAATCAGGAATATTGGCATGTGCAAACAATATGAAGAGTGAGCAGACACAACTCATCTAGTGAAAAAAAAATGTTCCTTTTTGCTAAAGCTCAAAGGGAAAGTTTCTGAAGTTATTCTAACATAATACATCAGAAGAACATAACATTGTATTTCAGACTGTTGTTATTGCAGAATAAAGTGATAGTTTTCTCATTTCTTGTTTTCTTTTTTTTTTTTTTTAGTTTTCGGTAAAGTGGAAGAAGGATTAGATCCTTTGTAAAGTTTTTTTGGTATCCTCACTAGGAAAATGTGCCCGTTGTCGCAAAGAAAGAAAGCGAAAGGGAATCCAATATGTTAGAGTTGTCCCGAACAAGATATAAATATAATGGGGAAATGTGTTCTGGGGCGGCTGTATTTTTTGGAGATTTCCTCTAACATTTTGGGGTTTCCGTGAGACAGAAAGTAAAGGAGAATTTCCACAATGGTACAAAGACAGGAAAAAAATTAACCCGGCAGACGTGTTAATCTTCCCCACTCTGTTAAAAACTTTAAAAATGTTGTAAAATCTATGGTTTACCTGTCAACAGTATGTTTCATTTATGTAATTAAAATGCCATATACCTGCATGAGCTGATAAACACAAAGAAGAAAGTCCTCATGCACCTCCACTAGGCTGAGGTTTCTTTAAGGTTGCTACAGAGAATTTGTGGCACTTGTCCCAATGCCTAGGTTAGAAACTATAGCTGACGAGTGCTGGTTCTCCTTTATCAGCCGCTGTTCATTTAAGGCAAGCAGGCCATACCATTGGTTGTCCTTAGGTCTTGGTACACAGTGTTCTAATTTCTGGCCTGTTTGCAAAACAGACCAAACATAGGCAGTATACAGCATTATCCAGAGACAGTCCAAAGAAAGAGCAGGCACAGGGTTATCTAGAAACAGTCTGAGTTCAAGGAAGGTAGCAGAGAAGCTTAATCCAGAAACAGGCTGTATTCCAGGTAGGAGGTCAATACCAGGAGAATCCACTGAGTAAGGAAAGCAGACCAAAACGGCAAGGCAAGTTGAGGAACCAGGTTGCATGACACTGCTATTTGCTACTTTTAGGCATTAAAATGGAATCAGTTCTCTACAGGATGAACATGTATGCATGTATGTAATTACTCAGATATTAGGGGTGTATTTTTATGCTGTACAAAAATTCCTTGTACAAATATCTCATATATAAATCTTATAGTTTGTGCAATATGTTTACTTCGTACATCTAGTAGCCATAATGCAGGATTTTCCTGATTGGAGTATTTCAGAAAAACACTGCATTTATACCAGTAGATGGAGTTGACAATCATAGGAAGTAAACATATTACACAAATTACGGGGATTACTTGTGCCAACTGTACGAATGATTAAGAAATTCACACAGTGAATTATAAGTACACCCCTTAAATTTGTAACAGAAAATATCAAATTATCGAAGCTAGTTAACTTCACTAGTTTTGCTCCAGTGGTAAAAATAATGTAGGGTGTTGAACTGCAAGAGAGAAATTTAACTTTATTCTTTTGTTTTTCCTATTTGTTCCTCTTCCACAGTGCCTCAGGATTTTATAGATCCTCAGGGGGTTGGGTTACCTTCTATGTGGCAGCCAAGTACACGCAAGTCCTCTTGCTCTTCATGCTCACAGAGTGGCTCTTCAGATGGGGGTCCAGCCAATGGCTGCAATCATGAAAGGTATATCATGCTGGAAACTAGCTGTTTCACCTATTAATCTTAATATGCTGTCAATATTTAGACACAAATAATTGATCGAATTCCACCATGACCTACAATATGTCTATGTATATGTGTATGTATGTACCCAGGAACAATCCAAGCAGGGTTATCCTGTATTTTTTATGCAGCAAGGCAACAGACACAGTTTCAAAGAGTGCTTTGTATAGCATGTTCATAGCATAAAGCATAATATCTGTTTGTCTAAGCCGGTAACTAAATGCATGTTAGTTCCTGACTATCAGGGTGTCCCTTATGAGTTACCCCAAACAAACAGGTAGCTCTTGAGACTTTAGTGGTCAGTCAGTAACCCGCCTTTTCACCTAGCAGTAGGCTCCCACAGCAGAAAGAGTGAGGGATCCCTGAGCTTTATAAAAAAAGCCAGTGGACAGCTGACACTACTTAAGGAAGTCTTGCTACCAGGCAACATATGAACTTTGGAATAGAAACTTTTCCCACCCCTAAGCTCCCTACAAATCCTTTCACAACAATTAAAAAAATGTTTTTTTCTCCTTATCACAGCCCCTCAAGCATAGGTGAGAAACCTAGGTTGAGTATATACACCATCCACTAACAACTAACCAGTGCCTTTCAATACCTACCCTACATTAATTTTCCATACTAAAGGTTATGTAAGCCCAAAAGTGATACTCCAGTTGCACTGGTAGGTTAAAGTGTTTGTAAATCTATAAAAATATTTTGTTCCTGTCTCTTTAAGGCAGGGTAGACTGCATAGCAGGCTTGCAATGATATGTAGTCCTTTCCATGTTCTAAAATACCTGGTTGGTCCTGGCTATTCCTGTCTGTAAACTGACCACACTAATGATGGCTATCAATCCATGATAGTGTGGTCAGTTTGTGTCCCTCCGTCATTCTGCTCTCTCTGCAGTGTGTCTGCATCTTCTTCTCTCCCCCTCTCTCCTTGCCTGCCATTTCTGTGGTATTGTAAATTAGCTGGGCTCAGCTCGGCTCCCCTCCCCTCTGCGGTTGGACAGGTTTAACGCATAAATGCCCTTAACCAGTAATCCATCTGGTTTTCCATTATGCATCATAGCAAAACATTGTGCTAGTAGACTATGGTTCTCACAATGTTTTATGCTTTTGTGTTCACTGATGCGGACGCTAAGGTGACATTTATTCTTACTCACATAGAATTTAGAGCACAGACCCTCCAGCATTATAAATGAGGCATGTCATGCTGCAATTAATAAACTGTCTAATGTGGTAAGAATTCGAAAGATCTGCATGGATGAACACACTGTTTTTCTCAACATAGTTGCAAATTTCACAATGTCCACTTGGGAACATGCTTCTAGCTCTTGGTAAATCCTTGAGCCAATTCATTGGTACCCTCCAACTGGACAGTCTCATCAATCAGATACCTGGCCCGTTTCGCAACCAATAAGGGCACGGGCCCACAGTTGCTGCTAGCGGAGAACGAATTGCGATGTTCCAGTGCCTATTCAGAATAACCCTTACTTGTTCCCTTTGGGATCTGTCCCCAAAGGGGATACCCTACAAGTTCTATTCATACTCGGAAGCTTTATTTTTGGCTCTCCTGATAGTACTATGGGGATAACCTCTATCTCTGAACCTGTATAGTTTCTCAGCTTCTTCCCTATAGTCCTCTTCATGGGAACAGTTCCTGTGTATATGCAGGAACTGGCCCATGGGAATACCTTTTATCAGGGACAGCGGGTGGTAGCTTGTTGCCTTTAACAAGGTATTAGCTGCTGTCTCCTTTCGGTAGGGCTTAGTTTGGAGTTTTTGATCTTCTATTGAGATGAGGAGGTCCAAGAATTGTACATTAACTGTATATTACGTTTAATTATCCCCAGTTCAGTCAGGAAGGTCTCAAGGTCACTCACTGAGCTTTTCCAGAGCATCAAGACATCACTGATCTATCTCAGCCATCAGGAATCAATTCGCCATTTCCTCCTCCCACCACTCCAGATGAAGACAAGCAATATGCTGGTGCTCCTCACCTGTTGGCAATTTTAAATTGAAAAAAACTAGTGCAAATTCTAACAGATTTAGTAGAAACGTATTCTGGGTGCCCGTATCGGGGATGTTTGCCTCGAGGAAATGGAACACTGCAACGAGACCCCATTGGTGTGGGTTGGATTTATGAAAGTGACTCACCGTCGATACCTACCAGGAGAGCTCCCTCTCGAACCTCCACCTGTTTAATCTTAGAAAACACATCCCTTGTATCCTGAACATATGAGGGCAATATGGCCACTATCTCTTTGATCAGGGCATCTAGGTATTTACCAATCTGCCCAAGAGGACCTTTAATGGCAGATACTATTGGCTTATCAGTCAGATTGTGATTTATGAATTTTGGGGATGACATAGAAGGTGGGTGTACTATATTCTCACTTGTACTTTAGTAATCAAATGTGCCTCATAGGCCAAATATAATTTATTGTTAAGTGAATCAACTAGGCCAGGGAATGGGTTTCCCGATAGCTTCCTATATGTGGAGTTATCCCCAACCTGTCTCCTAACCTCCTGCTCATACATGTGTTCAGATAGGAGCACTGCATTGCCCCCTTTATCGCTTTTCTTGATCACGATGTTAGGAGCCTCTTTTCATCTTCAGATCTTCAGCCACTCCAGTACTGGCAGAAGTTTGCAACTGCCTGAGGACTGGGGAAGCCCAAAAGACACACTAGAAGAACAGAAGGGTGCACCAGCCTTGGGCATTTTTTTTGTGATTCCTTTTATTGAAGCGATAAAACAAATATATACTCACAAATAGACATGTGCAAAACAAAAAATAATTGTTTTGATTTATTTGACTAATTTCGTTTTGTTCAATTTGTTAACTTCGTTTAATTAGTTTTCTTAATTTGTTTCATTTTATTTATTCGAATTCAGCCAAATTAAAAATTTTGAACAGATTTGAAAATAGTTCTTACGGATTCGATAACAATGTTAATGTTACAATCCATAATCAACAATCCATATGTGTTTTTGATGGTATATGGTCTATATGAAGAGTTGCATGACCACCATATTGGAAATTTCTATTTTTTTTTCAGCAAAAGTTTCACAGTGCCTTTGTTGATTACTACTTAGGTCATCATAGCGCAGCTGACAATTTTTAATGTTTTGTAAAGTATTCTATTCTTTTCTATTTTTTTATATTTTATTCTAATGTTTTATATTTGAATTCAAATTCATTCTATTCCAAATTCAAATTTTGGAACACCGTTATATTCTTTCTATTTTATTCTATTCTATTGATTTTCTGTTTTTTATTCTATTCTGTTCTTTGATTTTCTAGTCTAATCTTTTCTATTCTATTCTAATTCTATTTTTTATTCAATGTTGTTCTGTTTTACTCTACTGTTTTTTATTTTATTATTTTCTTTTGTATACTGTTCTTTTTTTTTTTTTTTCTATTTTATTTTTTCCCCTCTATTCTTTTCTACTCTATTATTTTATATTCTAGAATTCTAATGTATTATATTCAAGTTCATTAAATTCGAATTTCAGAAGACAGTTTATATTATTTCTGTTTCATTCTATTCTATTGTTTTACTATTCTTTGATTTTCTATTTTAATAGTTTCTATTCTAATTTATATTCTAGTCTTTAATTTCTGTTCTAATCTTTTCTGTTCTATTCTAATAGAAAATCAAATAGAATAGAATCAATTCTATTCTAATATTTTCTATTTTATTCTTTGGTTTTCTATTCTAATCTTTTCTATTTTATTCCTTTATTTTCTATTTTATTTTGTTCTCTTTTACTCTATTCTTTCCTATTCTGTTCTTTTCTTTTGTATTCTGTTCTATTCCTATTCTTTTATTTTCTATTCTGTTTTTTTTCCCTCTATTCTTTTCTAGTCTAATCTTTAATTCTCTATTCTTTTCTTTTCTATTCCTTTATTTTCTGTTCTATTTTATTCTATTCTTGTTTTTTTAATTCAAATTTGTTTTCAGATTTGTTTTTTTAATTCGATTCGAATTTCAGCTGAATTTCATTTTAATTTGGATTCGTTTAAATTTGCTACTGTTGTAATTCAGAATTTGGATATATCCGAATAATGGAAAATTTGTTCGAATTTCGATTTGGGAGGAAACGAATCGCACGTATCTACTCACAAACAGCATAACATCTCAAGCCCATCAATATCCACAGTGTACTACATGATCTGGTCCACTGCGTGAATCCCAGTCATGGGAAGACACTCAAAATGGCTGATGTGTTTCGAGGGGGGTCCCATTTTCCCTGCACCCTAATGGACGAGTCTGAGGAAAATCTCTTCAGTAATAAATTAATATCCTTTGTAGGTTTCAAACATGTCCATTTTCTTTGTGGGTGAGAACGAGAGGCCTCTCTGTAAGCTTGGTATGCCTGTCCTTTAATTTAAAACCAGAAAGATTGATCAGCTTCATATCTTGTATTTCCCTTCTCTAAGATCTCCCTGCTTCCAGAGGTGGGGACACTATCTTTTCTGACTCTTTGTCCTTCCCTTCCCCTGCTTTCCTGGAGGACCCAGGTCTTTCTCCTTTTCTCTGCATTCTCCCTTACTTCTTCCTCATCTGACTGTTTCAAAATTCCCTCCCCTAAAGCCACCTCCATCCCCTGGGGGAAGGGGGGGGGGGCTCCTTGTCTAAAAAAAACTTACTGATTTAGTACCAATCTCATCCTCGCATTCTGAGGATGTTAAGCCTCCCTTAGAAGGTAGTATGCGAGTAGAAACACCCTCTCCTAGACCTACTCCTAATGTGAGTTTTTGTTAAATCAAAGATCTCATCTCTTTCCCAGTCCTCTAAATCTCTTTTAAGATTAGTTTGTTTCATTTTACATTGGTTCTTTTGAACTTTCTTCAACTCCTAAATACGTAGATTATTATTCTTTGTAAACTCTGTTTTTTTCCTTATGGGGTTCCAGTTACTTGGTGTTCTCTTCAATGAAGGTCTGGAGGTTTGCCAGCTGCAACTTCATCTCAGTCATTTTTGTATTTTTAGATTCATAATAAAGTCAGTCTTTGAGATATATCATATTTGTCCTCCCTTGAAACTACTTATTTGGTGGGCTTCTTATCCCTTAACCTTTGTTGTTGTATTGAACCTGGACATATTCTAAATATTCCTTCCAGAGAAGAATTCTCTCTCTCTAAGAGCTTATGCTTGGGACTTGCAGTCAAAAAGATGCCTCTCTGTGACATTCTCCTTGAGAATTCTGGGTCTCTTGTTAGACTTTGTAAAGGTTGTTCCATTCTATCGATTTGATTTGAGACCTCTCTAACACAACATTTTGTTGGCATGGAAAAAGCACTTTCCTTCTTTTGACCTACCAATGCTCCTATCCAGCCAAGCAAAACATTCCCTATCTTGGTCATTCTGCACTGGAAAGTGACAACCACAAATGGCAGTATTTCAGCCTGGGGAGGAGTGTTCCAGTCCTTCACAGTTCAAGGAACATGGTCATTGATGGAAGCCAAGTTCTCCAACAACTTGTGTCAGCCACCAAGAGGAGTCATGCAACCTTGAAGGCCTATACATCGGCAGCTCACCCATATGTGGTGACGGGGCATCGGAGGCCATCATGGTACCATCATGATACAGAACTAACAAAATAATTTTAATTCCAGGCTGTAATGTAACAAAACAGGAACACCTTTTGCAAGGAACTCTAAAGGTCATGCTTGGACTAGCAATAGTGCAACAAGCAGGGTCAGATAGACAGAGGATAGCTACTAGTCTAGGTTGAGGTGATGTTAGGTATGGTTCAGATGCCTGTAGGTTGCTATTACTCTTGTGCATGGGGGAATGGTTTGGCAACTTTGCATTGTGTATGTATGAGTGCAACACATTTAACAGAACATGATATAGGAATACATACCTAAAATACCCAATACATGCCTAACTTGCCATATCCAGGTTGTGTTCCCTGTTATGCTGACACACATCCTGTTGTATTTAATAGTTCTTCTCCACCATCTAATATATGTTTTTATTGTTGAAAGTAACTTTTTAAATTTAAATCTTTTTCTAGGGCTCCTCTCAAAATGTTATGTGACAATATGAAGTATCAGATTGTCTCAAGAGCCTTCTATGGGTGTAAGTATGTGCCACATAGTTTTCTTTAATAAATGTTTCTTAATTGTGCATCCTAGGACACAAAGGACTTGAAAGAATATTTATTACTACTTGGGTTTTGCTACCACCTTCAGGTGAATGGATACTGGCTACAAAAGCCAGGAATTCCATTCCAGCTCAACTAAGCCTCCAGTTTCCTTAGGTCAGTGGTGGGCAACCTTTTTTTTCAACTGAGCCAAATCTCGCCAAAACCACGATTGAAATTTATTTTGAGAGCCACATTTTTAAAACTGAAAATACATCTCCCATATAGTAATTCATCCCCCATAGTAATTCATCCCCCATATAGTAATTCATCCCCCATAGAGTAATTCATCCCCCATATAGTAATTCATCCCCCATAGTAATTCATCCCCCATAGTAATTCATCCCCCATATAGCAATTCATCCCCCATATAGCAATTCATCCCCCATAGCAATTCATCCCCCCCATAGTAATTCATCCCCCATATAGTAATTCATCCCCCATATAGTAATTCATCCCCCATATAGTAATTCATCCCCCATAGTAATTCATCCCCCATAGTAATTCATCCCCCCATAGTAATTCATCCCCCCATAGTAATTCATCCCCCATATAGTAATTCATCCCCCATATAGTAATTCATCCCCCCATAGTAATTCATCCCCCCCATAGTAATTCATCCCCCATATAGTAATTCATCCCCCATATAGTAATTCATCCCCCATAGTAATTCATCCCCCATATAGTAATTCATCTCCCATATAGTAATTCATCCCCCATAGTAATTCATCCCCCATATAGTAATTCATCTCCCCATATAGTAAGTCCCCCATATAGTAAGTCCCCCCCCCATATAGTAAGTCCCCCCCCATATAGTAAGTCCCCCCCCCATATAGTAATTCATCCCCCATATAGTAAGTCCCCCCCCATATAGTAAGTCCCCCCCATATAGTAAGTCCCCCATATAGTAATTCATCCCCCATATAGTAAGTCCCCCCTGTGTCAATTCACTTACCTTTGCTCCGCGCGTTCCTCTCGTCGTGCTTCCCGCGCCGTTCTGGTCTTCAGGGCGGACTGTGAGAGGAGAGGAGTTCGTCACGCTGCCCCGCCTACATCCTGGCTGCCCCGCCTACATCCTGACAGCATCAGAGTCCTGACTTTTGGGGCGGCCGCCCGAGAGGAGGGAGGGGAGCGGGCGGCCGTCCGAGAGGAGGGAGGGGAGGTGAGGGGGCGGCCGCCCGGCACACGCCCGTGGGAGGGGAGGGGGAGAGAGGAGGGAGGGGAGGTGAGGGGGCGGCCGCCCGGACGCCCGTGGGAGGGGAGGGAGGAGGGAGGGGGAGGGAGGGGAGCGGGCGCCCGGCACACAGAAGAGCCGCATTTAAGCTTGTAAAGAGCCGCATGTGGCTCGTGAGCCGCGGCTTGCCGACCACTGCCTTAGGTGATGGATGTGCCTTCCTGTGTCCCTCTGAAGAGCTCTCCCGATTTCTACAGCCTGCAGATTAAGAGGGATTGTACCTGGGCCCTGCATGCAAGAAAAGGGATTGACTATAATGTTACCAGTTTGTGCTAAAACCTGTGGGCAGAAATCTGGGTACAAAATACTAGTTGAACTCCCTGGTAGGGTGCTCTACATGCCCTGGGCAAAGATCTCCATGGAGGGGAGGGGGGTCCAGTCCCTGATTGTCCTGTGGGGTGTACCTAATGTGATTGTTATTATTGGGCCAGGTGGCTCTGCTACTGGACTTCTGAGTGCCTCTGAGCTTTGTCGCACTTGTGGGAGTTTTGTGCTCTGAAATGGTAGGTATCCACTCAGATGGTGGATACTGGGAATTTCTTCCAATTAATTGAATGGACATGAAAATGGATGCCAATGTATCAGGCTATGGAGGTGTTCTAGAGAACTTCTTGGTTCAGGGAATGTGGTTGTCAGATCAGTACTTGCTGACTGACATCCTGGAACTTTGGGCAAATCTTGTGGCTCTCTTCTTCTAATCTGACTACCTTTTGGGGTCTTCAGTCGGACCATGCCATGCTGTGGCATACATCAGCCATCAAGAAGGGACAAGACGTCACACTGCTCAGGAAGAAGCTCTTGTTTAGGGGTGAGCTGTATGCTTCTGCTGTGGAAAATTGTCAGGTGGACTTTCTCAGCTATTAGCAGCTGAATCTAGGAGAACGGGCTCTCAACCTGGAGATGTTTGCAGAGATTGTCTGTACTGGAGGACTCTCTTGGTCTTCAGATTCAGCAACTAACTGGCCAGTGAAAAGTATACCTTATGGTGCTAACTAACTGGCCAGGTTTGTGATGCCTTGGTGACTCCTTGAGATCAGTTTTCTCTGATTTATGCTTTTCCTCCACTGCAGCTTCTTCTTGCCTGTTGGGCAAGACAAAGCTGGACAGATATTCAGTGATTCTGATCAGTCATACTTGGCCAAGAAAAATGTAGTATGCAGATATCATAAATGTCTTGGCAGATGAGTCATAAGTTTCATCCCTGACAGTATGTCGTGGGGAGCATTTTTGCTGTTTCTGCACGGCTGCTGTGGAGATGCCTCTGCCTTAGGTATCAAGGGACAGATCTCAGCCTTGGCCGTTCTTTTTCACCTGTTATTTCTTTTTCCTTGGTTAAAGGTTTTGTGCAGGGTATCATAAGGACTGTTTGGCCTGTGCCAAACGTGGGTCACACCAATGCCCTCTTCATCAACTTTTGACAACTGGCTGATCAACTTCACACTGCGCAGTCACTGATTTGCAACAATCACACTCTCAGCCTCACCCTGCACAAAAATGTTCCAGTTTGTGGGACCACAATCTAAGTGCCAACAGACTAAGAGCGATTGTCACTGGGTTTAGTTATCTAAGCATTTAACTCTTTAAACTGCCACCAACTACTTTTATCGAGAAGTAGTAAATGTTCACAATATTAGCAGTAGCAACTATGATTTTAGAACAAAAATCTCTGTAACACACATTGTCACCACAAACTGGTATATTCAGCAATTTTACCAGATATTAGTGCTCTTCAAGAGACAGGGATTTAGGGCATTAAAGACAATTTAACACTTTTCAAAATATAGTTTAATAATGAAAGTAAAACATGATGCAAAGAAAATATTTACAGAAAAAAGTATTACAAAGAACACAAAGAGACGACACTGCAACAGCAAAACAAAAGGTTGAAGAATGAAAAATACTTGAAATAAATGAAAGTCTTGGTTCAGCAGAGTCCACTTAATCAAGCAAGATGATACATTGGCTCTCATACTACTTGACAGATGTTCCTTGGTTTGATGTTAAATGAGAGCTGTCAACTGCAAGGGCTTCCCCAATTTCTTGCGGATGAGGGGATTGCTGACAGAAATGATGTGAGCAATTAAGCAGCTGAGGAGTGGCTGGGATGTCACTGTATTTACAACTGTACTCTGACCATTCCTTACAGTTTTATACCGATATTAATATCTTCAAATATGTACTGGTTGAATTCTGGAAACTGGTAGATTATTGTTCAGCATTGAATTTCGTGTCCAGTGATATTAAACAGGGTGTCTCAGATAGGCCTGTCACCCAGGAGGTAGGAGACTGCTATCTCACCTTCTGTATACTATAGCTTAGTCCTGTATTACCTTGATTTGTTTGTTATGATGTTGCCCATTCAAGTATATACTTAATATTAATATGTCTTGGTCCCGTCTGATTTTTATAAAGTGTGTGTAGATATTTGACATTGCGAGTGAGGCAGAGGTCTCAGAAAGGTCGCTGTAGGCCTGACTGGCTTTATGATACCCTTTAGCCCTGGTCACGACAGTTTATAGTGCGCTGTGCATTCCTGAAGGGTTTGATTTCCCTACAAAACATGAGTGACCTGTAGAATTTTGTGACTGTTTTAGGAAGGGTCAATCCCAATTCCCCCCAGAGGGTAGTGATAATTTGTAGATGTTTATGGTTTGCAGACACTGCCAGACCCCCTGCCAGAACTTCAATTAGAGATTTACAGCTCTGGTAAATGCCTGTGTACTGATGTCTGCTGTCCCTAAGTTGAAATAACAGGCTCTTTGAAATTCTAGACCTGTACAGAAATGTGACTTAAGGCTGAGTTCTACCCAAAAGTGGAATCTCCCCTTTTCTAGCCTATCCCCCCCCCCCTCTCCGCTGCCACATTTGCCACCTTTTGGAGGGGAGGGGGAGCAGGTACCTGGTTTTGACAGGTACCTGCTCCCACTTCTGGCTGAGTTTGCCACCTCCCGCAGCCCTCTGGGACACTCAGCAGCTCAGTGTGTGAATGGACACACAGATCAGTGGCTGGGGAGCGTGCATGCTCTGGTGCCCCCAAACCAAGATGCTTGCTGTGGGGGCACCCGATAGCAGTAAGGGCCAGGAGAGCCAGCGGGGGACCTGAGAAGAAAAGGACCCAGGCTGCTCTGTGCAAAACCACTGCACACAGCAGATAAGTATAGGCATGTTTGTTATTTTTTTTTTTTTTTTTGTAAGCCTTTAGAATCACTTTGAGGCTTAGGTTGTCTTTCCAACCTAAGGTGGTTTCATAAGGAAAGGATGCTTCACTGTTTGGATGTTGTTCAGATGTTTGCTGAGTTTTACCAGGTAGATGCTCATGCCTCTGTGGATGTCAGTTTTGGGTGGAAGGTCTTGCATGCAGCTTTGTAGTAGGGTTCTTCCCCCATTCTGTTTTGGGTGTTGACACGTTTGCCATGTTGCTCTGTTGCCAAGCCTCATGTTCAGTGCTTTGGAACATCCCATATTGTCATGAATATCTAAGTCATCTGTGTCCTGTGATGTACAATAAAGAAATTAGGGTTTTTGGTTTACCTGAAAAATCATTTTCTTGGAGTTGTACATCACAGGGCAAACTCCCCTCTGACCCCCTGTCTGTGTCCTCATTGCTTGCTACAAAACTGAGGCTTAGGTGACCTGGGAGGGGTTATGTCTGGAAGTGTCCATTCACCTAAAGATGGCAGCATAACCCAAGTAGTCCTGTATATCTAAGCTCTCTGTGTCTGAAGATGTACGCCAAGAAAAGGATTTTCCAGGTAAACCAAAAATTCTAATATTTTGCATTAAGACCACACTGTTGCCCTATTTTGACAGCAGCAGTATTAAGTAAATGCATGTGAGCACATTTACATAGTTTATCAGGAATAAATATGCTGGGAAAAATGGGATGACAGATGGGCTTATTCATTAGGGCTCGAGAAGAAGAGCTTTAATGTATACCAAATCAAAATTCTTGTATTTTCCATAAAGTGGAATGTTGCTTTTTGCAACATCTCTAATCATATGCTCATTTGCATTTCTCTAGTTTTAATGAATTATTCTTTTTGAGTGCTATAGCACTGTCATCGCATTTGTAGTCTTAAACGTGTCTAATAATGACCCAAGAGACATTGAATGTGTTGGGTGGGCTGTTTTGTAAAGGAAACTGAAAGATAAGGATTGTTTTTCTCTTTACATCATTTATATTGAAACTTTTTAAAGAAAAAAACAAAAGGGAATGGTCCAAAGAAATACGAAACAATAGGCATATTGCTATAATGCTTTAAGCATAAGGTAAAATCTGAACAGTGAAGAGACGGTGCAATTGTATTTCTTTCTTTTTTTTAATTCTTTATTTAGTTGCAGCTGTTGACATCAGTACAAGCATAACAGTATCCAAAGAGTTATACAGGAACATACTACAACAAATATCAGCTGTAAGTCAGCATAGATCAAAAACAAACAGCAATGGTATTTCTGCAACCACATCCAACTTATTAGGTTTCTATGATCTATATAGCGGCTTATCATATGGAAGAGGGCCTCCCTGTGGGAGAAAAACAGAGGAGACTTGCTGAGGCATAATATGGCATTTGCCCTGGGGGAGTTCCCCATAGTAAACATTCAGCAGTGATGAGTGAACTTTTCGATGAGGACTATTTTTGATGGTGGCATGATAATTTTTTTAGTGTTTCACTTTGCAGAGCAGCGTCATCTTGTTCAGCTTATGAAGTGTTTCTTTTTTTTACAATTTACCCCTTACAGTTCTTCCTTTGTTAGCATTTATATATGAAATTGTGTGTTGCAATATAACATTAAACCCATTTTTAACCATAGCCACTAATCCCTGCAGCACCCAGCACATTTTATATGCTGCTTTTTTCCCTTTAGTTAGCAGGAACCCATCCTTACCCTGAAGAACAGCGGTTGCCTCCCGATTCAAAACTGCTCTAATATCCCACTTTTACAAATGCCACCTGTTCTGACAGGTAAACATGCGTATCAGGTAGTGCAGAAGCTTACCTGCTTTGTCTTGCTCTCTGCACATTTGTATTGTCTAGTGAGGCAGCTCATCATAATGATGGGACAATAGGAATGTGTGGGGGTGGAAGTCAGCAGGAAGCTCAGATGCTAACTGGAAACATTTTATACCCGCAGCAGTGGTTTTCTTTTTTTTAACCGTGTCCCTGTAAGTATTTCTAATATTAACTGACTCTTATTATGATTAATATTATTATTATGATTATTATTATAGGGCTGGCCTACTGCAGACATCTATCTACTGTGAGAACACATTTATCAGCTCTGGTAAATCATAAAATTGTGTATCCTGATGTGCCAATGGATGCCAGTGGAGGGCTAACTGTAGAGTTTTGGCAAAAGTATTTAGAAGACAGCACAGTAAGTCCAACTAAAATAATATCATGGGTGTCTAAAGAAAAAAGTTTACTTTTAATATAAAGCCTGTTGTGAGGGAACATCTCACCTAGCATACGCATATATGCAGCCTAACATAACTGGGGCTTTATCTGTGGGGTCGCATATATACACTTCTGTGTTTGTGCTAAGAACATACTTGGACATTGTATCTTGTTCTTGCTAGAAGAGAAAATTATGAACAAAAAAGTATGTGGAAAAAAAACATTTAAAAATAAAGATAAAATAGCTAGACCAGGGTTTGAACTAGGTCATTGCCAGAGTAAAGCTTAGGGTCTAAGGTCAATGCATTTTAGGTAGGCTTTAATAAAACATTTTAGGCTTAGTATCAATGTGTTTTTTTTAGGTAGATTAAAAAGTAAATCATGCACTATTGATTCTGGGCCCTACTACAGGTTCAAACAACAAATAACATACACAAATGTGGTATCAATACGATTGTCAGGAGCAGGAGAATATATTTTGGTTTGTTCTCTGATGTTAGGTTATAGTAACAGCAAGAAATATGCAGCTATAATGTAAAAAAACATTTTTTTTTTACTATTTTGTGCCTGTTTTTTCTTTGATACTAAAAAAACAGGAGATATGTATTACCATTTACCACCAAATGAAAGCCCAAAACACATGGTATAATTCACCTGGATACACTAAGTAGTGCTATGATATGTACAGTTTTACTAACACTTGCCAAAGTTACAAAACTGTTTCCTGGATTTGTTTTACATTACCATCATGTAGGTGTAAATATGCTATTTGTCTTTCTATTATAATGACTTTATGACTTCTATACTTTGAGTCACTAACCAAGAAGAAGTAAGCAGATCAAGAAAGTCAGTGTAAAGCCAGGCAGTCTTATTTGCTTTAATGTTCATGGAGAGTAACTCAAAGTAATGAAGCCAGAGGGTCACTGTGACAGCCAGGCAACCAGCAGAAGAGATCAGTTAAGACACTTTACTCATAAATGTCAGTAAATTTTACATTTAGACCACCTTCACACCATGTGTAGAGATGTGAGTTTTTCTGCACGCCTTCTGGAAGGACACAAAAAATCACTAGTATCACATTGCGGGTTTTTTTCTGCCCAGGAATCAGCATCATGTATAAAACTCACTGAAACGCACATGAAAACTGATGTAAATGGATGTCTCTGCAAGTGAAATGTCCGTGTCAGTTTCCAGAAGTGTAAATAGTTTTAACAAAATAGAAAGTAAATGAATAGAAGACAAATCAAATCAATATTTGCTGTGACCATCCTTTGCTTTTAAAACCACCTCACTTCTTCCAGATACACTTGCACACAGTTTTTGAAGGAACCTGGAAGGTAGGTTGTTCCAAACATCTTGGAGAACTAACTACAGATTTTCTGTGGATGTAGGCTGCCTCAAATAATTATGTCTCTTCATGTAATCCCAGACAGACTCGCTGATGTTGAGATCAGGGATCTATAGGGACCAAACCATCACTTTCAGGACTCCTTGTTCTTCCTTACACTGAAGATAGTTCTTAATGACATTGGCTTTATGTTTGAGGTTATTGTCCTGCTGTAGTATAAGTGTAGGGTCAATCACATGCCTCCCTGATGGTATGTCATGATGGATAAGTATCTGCCTGCATTTCTCAGTATTGAGGACACGATTGATCCTGACCAAATCTACAACCCCTTGCCCACAAATGCCACTTGCCAGGAATCTCCACCATGCTTCACTGTTGCCTACAGACACCGCACTTCAGCCCTTCAGTGAACAAACTGCCTCCTACTGCAGCCAAATATTTCAGATTTTGACTTACTAGAGCACCTGCTTCCATATTCTGTACCTCAGTGCAGATGTTTCTGTGCATAAATGAGTTTCCTAACTTTGTTTTCACGTCAAAGCCTTGGCTTTTTGGCTGCAATTCTTTCATGAAGACCACTTCTGACCACATTTCTCCGGACAGTAGATGGATGTACCTGGGTCCCACTGGTTTACACCAGTTCTGTGCTAATGGCACTGCTGGACATCTTCCGATGTCGAAGGAAATTAAGCGTGATGCCTCTTTCATCTGCTGCATTAAGTTTCCTTAGCTGACCACTATATCTGTGGTCCTCAACGTTGCCCATTTCTTTGTGCTTCTTTCAAAATGCTTGAATAGAACATCTTGAAACCCCAGTCTGCTTTGAAATCTTTGAGCACAGCAACAAGACACACAGTAGTTATATTGCACCAGCAAGATCTCTCCAAGAAGTCTTGCCGTGGTGTATGTTCTGTGAAATGAAACGGTCTCCCAGAGCCAGAGTTTAACTGTTCCTCATCCAGTTTTAAGCCTCTCATACATCTGTTTCTGTTTCAGTTAATTACTGTTTAAAAACCTACATATGAAATTAATGATCATTAGCACCTACTTGGTATAATTTCGTAATCATACACCTGACTCTAATTCTGCAAAATCTCTGACTTTGTGCAAGTGTGAGAATTGATGCTGGTTTGAAGCCAAAGGGTAGTTACATCAAATATTGATTTGATTTAAATTTTACTTCTCTTTCTCACTTTGCATTTTGTAGATTGATAAAAATAATTAAAATATATACTTTTGAAAGCATTTTCACTTTACAGCATTTCTTCACACCAGCCTAACACTTTTGCACAGTACTGTATATTCTAGTAGTGACCCACATTATAAACTAATGTTTACTAATGTTTTTTTCTGGTTTATCAGAATTATGAAGAACAAGAATTATTACGTCTCATTTACTATGGAGGCATTCAGCATGAGATTAGAAAGGAAGTCTGGCCTTTTCTTCTTGGTCATTATCGGTTTGGAATGACAGAAGCAGAGAGAAAAGAGGTTTGTGCTCTCTTTAATACTTTACTGGTAATGAACAGTTCATATCAGAAAAAAGTAAATGGTATATTTAGAATAAAGAAGACATGTGTCCTTCTCTAAGTGCATTGCTAATCATTAGCTTCATTTACTTTATAAAGAGCAGGGAAAGTGTCTGCCATAAACATTAGTGTACAAATCTTTTGCCAACATAAAATGAAGTAAAGAAGGGGTTGTATGGTATACGTCAGTGGTCACTAAATGGCGGACTGCGGTCCGAGAACGGCCCAAGCAGCTTTCCCGCCCAGCCTGCCAGACTGGAATGACAGCTTCGCTGCTCAGCAGGGCGTTCAGGAAACCAATGACATCACACATGCGTCCCGCCACTTGCAGCTTGCTTTATCTCCCGCCTCCTAATCCCTTCCTGTCCACAAGCATGCACCCCGCCCCCTTCAGCAAGGATCTCGGCAAGCTCCTGCCTTTTGCTCCTGTCTGCCCTCAAAGTAGGGTGTGTTCTTTCTGGGGGACCTTGATGGGCACATTTATATTAAGGGGCAGTATGATGGGCACATTTAATGTTAAAGAGTAATGCTGATGAGTACATTTAATGTTAAGGGGCACTCTGATGGGCACAACATAGAACATGCCCATCAGAGTGCCCCTTAGCATAAAATGTGCCCATCAGAGTGTCCCTTAGCATTAAATGTGCCTATCAACATTACTCTTTAACATTAAATGTGCCTACCAGAGTGCCCCTTAATATAAATGTGCCCATCAGAGTGGCCCTTAGCATAAAATGTGCCCATCAGCATTACTCTTTAACATTAAATGTGCCCATCAGAGTGCCCCTTAATATAAATGTGCTCATCAGAGTGCCCTTAATGTGAATGTGCTCATCAGAGTGCCCCTTAATGTGAATGTGCTCATCAGAGTGCCCCTTAATGTAAATGTGTTCATCAGAGTGTGCCCCTTAATATAAAATGTGCCCATCAGCATGCTGCTTATTTTATGTTAAGGAACACTCTGATGGGCACATTTTTATATTAAGGGGCACTCTGATGGGCATCTTTTATGTTAAGGGGGCACTCTGATGGGCACATGTTATGTTAGGGGAGCACATAGTGTGGAAAGGGGCACTCTGATGGGCACGTAATGGAAAGGGACACGCAGATGCGGAATATGATGTAAAGGGGCACTATGATGGGGAAATATGATGGAAAGGGGTACTTTGAGTATAAGGGGGCACTCTCATAGCAAGACCTGATGTAAGGTGGCAATGTGATGGGGATACCTGATGTAAAGTGGCACTCTGATGGGGACAACTGATGTAAAGGAGCACTCTGATGGGCACACCTGATGTGATGGGGATACACAATGGAAAGTTGCACTCTGATGGCGACACCTAATGTAAGTTGGCACGCAGATGGGCACCCCTATGTAAGGTGTCACCGTGATGGGGGAACCTTCTATAATGAGGCACTCTAATGGGGACAACTGATGTAAGGGGGTACACTGATGGGAGACACCAAATGTAAGGGGCCCTCTGATGCAGAAACCTGATGTTAGGGGGAACTCTGATGGGAATGCTTGATGTTAGGGGGAACTCTGATGGGAATGCCTGATGTAAGGGGGTACTCTGAAGGAAATCCCTGATGTATGGGGGCACTCTGATGGGAACACATTACTGGGGTGCTCTGATGGGAACGCCTGATATAGGGGGGTACTCTGATGGTGGCAGTTGATTTATGGGGGAAGTTTGAGGTGGCAACCAATGTAATAAATTACTGTGGAGGGGGAACCTGATGTAATGGGGATATTTATTTTCGGGCCTTGGCCATAAAAATTTTTTTTTTTTTAATCCAAACAACTTTTATTGTCAAGATAATAGAGAAAATGGAACAGTACTTACATAATCCACAATGACATTACTGCAACAGCAGGATTACACATAAATAGAACAACCTGTAATACACAGAATAACAGAAATGGTAATCAAACAAAACAGAGAGAAGAATATTTTAGTTACCAGACCTCCTTGAATTTTAATTCAATACCCCCGGTATACGGTATAGAAAATAAAAATAAAATTAATTACACTTATTTATGCATGAAGATACCTGACACATAGAAAATCACTGAATTATCTCATCAACAGGAGGATCCTAATCAAAGCAAAAACTAAGCCATGGCTGCTGTAAGTTAAAAAAGATGGCAGAAGAGCAGCTCAGCTTCCCTTTAGACATGCATGGAGCTGATATTATTTGACAAAGTTTAAGCAGAACTAAACCCATTAAAAAAACACTTTCCCAAAACAGTTTAAGCATGCTGTGAATGACTGTCAGATGGCTTGTGCTGTAAGCAGAACTGTCAAGCCATCAAATGGCTGGTGTCATAATTGATGCAATGTGCAGCACTATGGCAACTGCAGATGAATCTGAGGCTAAGAAAGCAGATTCTTTAGCTGTAAAGAATAGGAGAGTCTGTTCCATTTTAGGCTTTGGAGCTATGACCATTAATTTCAATATTACGGAGACTATAGGGCTTAATATAAATACTTCAAACTATAGTTGAATATATGTTAGTACATAGTATTGCTCCTTAGTGTAATCTTCATAATAAAGTGCTTGCATTCACCAGTGTTTAAACAGAAAATACAGGGGTTGGACAAAAAAATGGAAACACTACATGATTTGCAGAAAACTTCCCTCCACTGTATTAACTGGGTACACACTGTAAGTGTCTACCTCCCAGCTACAGACTCTTTTAGGCAATCGTATTTCCTTTTTGTGCTTCCTGAGGGTTCTCGCAGGGAGCTTGCAGCTTCTTGCACAACTGCACAGCTAGTCAACATTTGAGCCCATGGTCTAAAGGATAGGGTTCTTTCTTTCCCTGTTAAGGTGCACTTTACTAGATCCATTAGTGCTTAAAGCAGAACTTTACCCATAACAACCTGAATTTAAAAAAATGTTCCTTAGCTTACAACATATCAGTACATTTCACATTAATAATTATGCTACCAAAGTTAGTGTGTGCTGTAAATTGCCTCCAGCATCATTCCTGGTTTCTTCTTGCCAGAGGCTGCCATTGTGCAGAAGCCCAGAGCCCCTGAACAGCAGTAAATCTTTAAACTGTTAACAGAACAGTCTGTACATTATAGGTACAGTGTAAAAAAAATTGAGAGCAACTGAGCATGTGCAGAGCAGGATGAGCCAGTGTATTACTGGATTTTAAACAGCATAGGCACTTATTTTTATGTTTTACATGACATTAAGCAGAACTGAATTTTCTGACTAAAATTCACCTTTATGGGCTTTTTGGGTATCAGTCATCTGTTTGTCAGATTTGCAAGGTGGCCACCTAGTCTCCTGTTTTGGTCATAAAGTGCAACAAACTGTTCTGAGGCTGTCAAGCCCTTCTTACCCTATTTGTTACTTAGGTCTGCTGGCGTTTTTTAAGATGTTGTGCTGTCCACCCCTTTGCTGATGTGTTGTTCCCCCTCCTTTGTTGGGCTGCTTTTGGACTTTCCATGGTTAAAGACTTAAGATCCTGTGTCCTGTACTATATGAATAAAAGGATAGGATTGTTGACCTGCTTGTAAAATCCATTTCTTAGACTACAGTATAGAGTGCAAGATCCTTCCCTCTGTTTTTCTGATCTCTCTATTTCTTGCTACAAAACTGAAGCTAGCTGGGGATGGGAGGGGTTATCTATGGGATTTCCCTGCAGCTTTCTTGTTTGCAAGTGTTCAGTTACTTGAGCGTAGCTGCATATAACCCATGGTTAAAGACTAAAGATCTTGTGTACTGTACTCCAAGAATAGGATTTTAGTTTAAAGACCCTAATATTGCAAGTAAATAGTTATGAACGGTTTAAGTTTTGCATCATGGTCACTTTAAAGTAATTATGTCACGTTCACATTTTATATGCCTGCTCTTTTAATTATTGTATTAAGCATTGAGATTTGTACATTAGCCACTAGATGTATAATTCATTAGCCATTGCAGTTAGCTGTTGAGACAAGATATCAGCCTCACCAGGTGTGCATTCTTTTAATTTTCAATGATGTAGTGGGGCTGGATGGTGCCTGGGTCTAGCAAATTCTGTGGCCTATTCCTGTAACCCTGTTTAGCATGTTTTTTGTACATACTCTTTTGAGAAGTGCATAAGTAAGCAGTGTTCACTATTTGCATGGAATGAGAGACAAAAATCAAGAAGAACTTCTAACTTGGAGAAAGTTGGTGACAACAGCGCACTTCATCCAGAATTGCTTTGCAGAAAATCTGTCTTCCTGAGTGTACTCTGCTAAATATGTAATATGTAGACTTAGGTGTTTAGAAACCAGCTAGGCAAGAAGCATTTTCACAGGGCATCCAGCAATGACAGGCACCAGATTTCACAAATGACGTGTATACTTTTTGTCAAATAGTACTTTGCAAATTAAAGTGGCGAAAATAATTATTTGATCCCCTGCAGATTTTTATAAGTTTGCGCACTTACAAAGAAATTAAGGGTCTATAATTTTTATCATAGGTTTATTTTAAATGGTAGAGACAGAATATCAACCAAATATCCAGAAAAAAAAAGATACAAATGTTATAAATTGAGTTGCAGTTCAGTGAGTAAAATAAGTATTTGATCCCCTACCAACCAACAATAGTTCTTGCTCCCACAGACTGGCTGTGTGCTTATGTGGTACACAAATTAGTCCTGTCAATTTAAGATGGTGCTTCTAACGACAGCTTGTTATGTGTTTAAAAGACACCTGTCCAAAGAATCTTTCTTCCATTCAAATCTCATGACCATGGGCAAGACCAAAGAGCTGTCAAAGAAAAGATTGTAGACCTGCACAAGGCTGGAATGGGCTACAAGACCATCAGCAAGAAGCTTGGTGAGAAGGAGACAACTGTTGGCGCGAGTATTCGCAAATGCAAGATTTCGCCTCATGGGGGTAAGGATGATCATGAGAGAAATAAGGGATCAGCCCAGAACTACACGAGAGGAGCTTGTGAATGATCTCAAGGCAGTTGGGACCAAAGTCACAAAACAAAGCATTGGTAACACAATACACCACCATGGATTAAAATACTGCACTGCCTGTAATGTCCCCCTCCTCATAAAGGCACATGTACAGATCCGTCAGAAGATTGCCAATGAACATTTAAATGATTCAGAGGATTGGGATAAAGTGCTGTGGTCAGATGAGACCAGGATTGAGCTCTTTGACATTAACTCAACTCGCCATGTTTGCTGACTATGACCCTAAAAACACCACCCCTACAGTTCAGCACAGAGGTGGAAACATTATGCTTTGGGGCTGTTTCTCTGCTAAAAGTACAGGCCTACTTTACCATATTGGGGGGCCAATGGACAGGGCCATGTTTTGTAAGATCTTGGATGAGAACCTTCTTCCCTCTTCCAGAACACTAAAGATGGGTCGTGGATGGATCTTCCAGCATGACAATGACCCAAAACATACCACCAAGGCAACAAAGGAGTGGCTCAAGAAGAAGCACAATTAAGGTCATGGAGTGGCCTAGCCAGTCTGAAGACCTTGATGATCTTATAGAAAATTTATGGAGGGAGCTGAAACTTCGAGTTGCCAAGCGACAGCCAAGAAACCTTAAGACCCTAAGAGAAGATCTGTCAATTAGGGTGGACCAAAGTCCCTTCTGAGATGTGTGCAAACCTGGTAACCAACTACAAGAAATGTCCTTACTCTGTGTTTGCCAATAAGGGTTTCTCCACCAAGTAATAAGTCATGTTTTGCTTGGGGATCAAACACTTATTTTACTCGCTGAACTTCAATACAAATTATAACATTTGTATCATGTATTTTTTTCTGGATTTGTAGTTGATATTCTGCCTCTATCATTTAAAATACATCTATAATAAAAATAATAGACCCTTCATTTCTTTGTAAGTGGGCAAACTTACAAAATCTGCAGGGGATCAAATTATTTTTTTCCACTGTAAATAGTTTACTTGCTGTTTTGAATTGTCTTTGCACAAGGATTCATACCTCTTCATGGGCTTTCCTGTGGTGTGCTAGGGCATATTGTGTTTCAGATCAATGATGAAATGTTGCACTTATGAACTGATTCCAGATATACATTCTTCATTTGTCTCTGCCATAGGTAGATGAGCAAATCCGTACTTGCTATGAGCAAACCATGGCAGAGTGGTTGGGCTGTGAGGCTATCGTGCGGCAGAGGGAGAAGGAGTCCCATGCAGCTGCTTTGTTGAAGTGTTCTTCTGGAGCCAGTCTAGATATCCAGATTCAGAGAATGATGCATAGAGACTCCACAGTCAGCAATGAGGTCAGCAAAAAAGACACAAGCAAGTTGTGCTTGTTAAATAAAATCACTTATTTTCTGCAGCTTTATTTATTTTAATGTGTTTCTTTCTTGGTGCTTTTTACAGCTATAGTTGTAGCTAGTATTTTTCCTTTCATTGAAACTGAAATGTTGTTTGACCTGTTTTGCAGTCTTCCCAAAGTTGTAGTTCAGAAAGACAAAACCATGCACGCCTTCAAAGTGACTCCAGCGCAAGTACGCAGGTAAAAATGCATGAAATGTGCAAATGTTTGACTTTTGAATCATATCTTTAAAGAGCCACTAAACCTATTCGCTAGTAAAAAAATAACCACACACATGAATTTACAACTTTGGCCCTTGTAATGTGCATAATAAACTACAGCTTTCTTTAAGGTAGTTTCTAATTAAAATTTAATTATCTACTTTTATTCTGACCTTCACGTTTAAACCAACTCCTTCTTTTGGTAGTGTGACTGAAGCAGCCCAGCCAGTGGGTTGAACAAAAAAATAAAACTCAAATCCTTCCTGCTGAGCTATTGTATTCTGACAGTGAGAAGACTTCCCCGCCATCAGAATACACTGATCAGCGCTGTGGGAAAATCTGACCAGGCAGTTTTACAGAACCATGTGCATCCATGGATCGAAATTTGGCCAGTGCTGAACCTGGCCATATTTTGATCTATGTATGGCCAGCTTAATCCTTGGCATTTGATAACAGTTTATGTAAATATTTGAATGAATCAGGACCAATATTAGTCCTCAACACAAGCTAAAAGGCAGTAGAACAAAAGTAATTCTATTCTTCACAATTTATTTGTGAAATAGGGTATTAAAAGCTGGTGCTGAGTTTGGTATTAAACCTGAAATCTTTATTTATTATTGTCCTTTAAATATAAAATTTTGTGAATGTGATCTTTCAAAAAATGTCAGCCTTATAGCCTTTGAGAACCATAGTTGTACAGCTGGGCTTCATGAACTTAGACATGGACTGTACTAAGGAACAACAAACCATACTAGTCCCTTTGAGAAGGTGTATTGCAGTAACAATGTTCATTAGTTCTCCCTAAGACCCCGGTCACACTGGATGCGAATTGGCATGCGATTGGCTTGCCATGCGACTTGCAGCCTATTGTCTGCAATTAGAGTGGTCATATCGGTGCGATTCTGACTTCACTGTAAGTCGCACGATTTCAATGCAGGGTTTGATGTGACCGGGGTGTAAGCCTCAATTATGGGATCTATGCATAAACACGCATCCATTCAGCTACATCTATGTTACAGAATTATCTTGTATAATCGAAGCACCATCTAGTGGCCAAAATGCAATTTACTGTTTTGTTTTAGTACCTAAATTCAAGAAAAAAAAGGAATTTTGGCCACTAGAAGGTGCTTTAAACATAACAGATATTTCTATAACCTAGAATACAGCATGTTTCATTGTAGCTGAGTGGATAGATGTCACATTCTTTCAGCAAATTGTTTATACATAGATCCCTATGAGTGTGTTCAGGCACCTGGCTTCCTGTTTTTCATTACTGCTGCCCATTTAGCACTTTTTAAGTTACCTAGGAAAATCCTTTTGATCGCAGGTTGATGTCAAAGGAAGTAGGCATTGATCAACCACTCCTACACACAGGTCTGGCCTTACAAGAATATGCATGGCTAAAACATTTACTACATTAGGATTGAGAAGAGGAGGTTTAAAACCCCTGCCAGCTTAAGGTGGCCATAGATGGATTGAAATTTGCCTGGTTCAGCAAGGATTGGCCAAATTTCGATATATGTGTGGCCACTCAATTGAACAGAAATCGAACTACCAATCGGCTTCTGTTCAACCACCCTGTCAGATAAATGCTTTTCGATCAGCAGCTGCCTTGTTAATCTGTAAATTTTGACAGCTGTTTATTCTGTCATATAACAATGGGGTGGTTTCACCCATTCTTCTAGAATGTGTAGCTGAGGTCATCAGTTTAGTTTTTCCCGGTTCAGCTCGCTGACTGAACCAAAAAAAAAAAAACCAAACCATGTATAGCCAGCTTTATTTTTATTATCTATCTGTTAGGGAGATTTTGTTTCACTTTCTGTTGGACACACAACAGATAATTTGAGAAATTTTCTACAAAATGAAGGGAGTTTCCCTTTAGATAATTGTCACTGGAACAGGTGTCCCCATTGAAAGATTTAGCTGCACCTCTTGTTCTGATGACAGTGCTAATATTTTTCATTACCCACTACTTTCTGTCTTGATTATAATTGCTACCCAAACAAATAGAGAGGGTAAATCTCCCAAGCGGGATCACAGACAACAGTAAAAGCCTTACTGCGGCTCTAATCCTTTCCTAATCAATCCAAGACCTGAAAAATGTTTTGGTTTTATATAAAGTGTTTAAAATTATTTCACATGTTTTTTGCCACAGAAAATTTTAAAATGTTAAATCATATTCTGTCAATTCTCTTGAAGTTCTATTTTCTAGGGAGTTTTGCTCTTGTCTTGACTTTACTGCCTCTTAATTCTCAGTTAATCTAAATACAATTTAACTGCACAGGTTTTTGAATCAGTGGAAGAAGCTGATCAATTAGACACTAGAAGCGAGGAGAGTAAACCATCAAAAATACCTAATGGAACCGTACCTAATGGGACATGCTCTCCAGATTCAGGTCACCCATCTTCCAGAAACTTCTCTATCACTTCTGGTTATTCAGAGCATAGTTTCAGTACAGATGATAATGCATCAACGGATGCCAGCAAAAATGCACTTTATCTGCCTATGAAACCAGGAGGAGCAAGTGGAAAAAAAACAGTCTAGCTTGGACAGTATGCTTGATGGTAAAAGGGTCGAAGAGGAGCTTGCTGTTCAAGATAGTTTGGACGCAGAAACTACAGCCAATGAAAGCTTGGATGACTTTTTATCAATTGCTGAAAGTACAGAGGACATTTTGCCTGATAGGGAAACTGCAATGCTTTCTGTTGTGGAAGCTTGGCCAGACAGTGAAGGTGAGAAAGAAAGTTTGGTGGGCAGCGAGGATAATTTATCAGAGGAGCCAGAGATGGAAAGTCTGTATCCACAACATGATTCATTGGTTGTAATTGACAAGACTGTGTCTGAAGTGTCCCCAGTCTCTTCCACTGGAGTAACCTATTCTGTAAGTATCTTACAATTAGCATGCCTGTCTCTGCTCCCTCATGTCTTGTGATAGATTGTAGTTAAAGTGTTACTAAACCTACAACAGTAAAATCCAGTCTGCATATGCAGTAAAACATGCTTGTTAACCTAAGGGTTAATCCTAACCTAAGGGGTTAATCCTCTGCAATGTATAAAAACCCTGTTTGATCCTGACTTCTCTGACCCACCCCTTTTCCCAGTGTCCCCCTCTTATCTCCTGATAAGACGTATTGTGTGGAGTCACTCTGCACATGCTCAGTTTGGTGTGTATTGCTAGAGAGGTTTCTTTTTCTTGGGAGATTGCTTGTGAACAACACAGGGCCAATCAGCGCTGTCCAGACAGAGGTCAGGGGTTCTGCATCCTCCTACAGCAGAATGAAAACTCCTTCTACAAGCTTTAACATATGCTTGGCTGGACACTGATATAAGTCACAAGACTGCTCTAACTGCTGATGAGAAAAGGTATTTACAGTTTATATTTACAAAAATAATTGCATTTCCATGTTCTATGTGCTGTGGGAGACCAGATATAGTGAATGCAGGGTCCTGGGTTTAGTAACACTTTAAGTATGCATACAGGGTCCAGCGTTAGAAGGTTAAAGATGAAAAGGGCAATAATCTTTGTTCTAATTTAACATAAGACCACATTCATACCCTTATTATTTTTCTTAAACATAATATCTAATTCCAAGTTAGCTTGTATTAAAAAGCTTAAAAAAGGAATAGTCATTAATGATTAGATTAAATTGAATTTGATATTTTAAGACTTCATTCCTGGAGATGGTATCTTTATATAGTATGCCATTATTTCAATTTATTAATTACAATTCAAGTAGATTTGAACTTGAAAATTCAGCAAGCTATCCAATAATGCCCTGGTCCTCCACAGCAGCTAATCCACATTGGGCAGACTTGGTCACAAGTTTGACCAATTCAAATATTATATTATTTTTGGATAACTAAAAACCTATATAGGTACATAAAAAAATAAGTAAGAGATACTTTTTAAAAATAGAGGAAGCTTCAAGAACCTTCTGCCTCTGATTTTAGACTTTGATTATCGACGAAATGCATCATTACAAGGAAGTACCTGTAAGGTCCTTGTACAAAGTCTTTCTTGATGGCAGCAGGAATGTCTCTGCTATCCATCAGTAGAAGTAGGGGATGTTTATCAGAGGCCTTGAAAATTTTCCTCAGCTAGTAAACCTAGCCCCAGGTAGCACTCACAGGTATGGCCACAATGGTCAATGAATGTTGGCTCCAGTTCGAATATCAAAACCTGTCAAATGAAGAAAGACCCCATGTAAAACTGAATGTCTAAGATGGGTCGGTGGCTGAAACTAAGAACTCATGCAGTACAGGTGCTGGGCATATATTTAGAAAATTAAGCGCACACCCAAATCCTGATGTAGCCTCCTTCCAACCCACCACCTTTCCTGCCCCCCCCCCCCCTTCAAAATTAAAAATTATTGAATGCTTAATATAGATAAAGAAGTACAATGAACATAAATAATGCAAACGAACTATATTTTAAAACTACATTTTAAAAATATTCCATTTTTTGGAAAGAACTTTCAGAGGCCTTCTGCAAAACCTTTCAGTCTTGTGTTAATACTGCTGTCCAAATGTGGTGGTGCCATGGTCAGGCTAAATCAAAAATTATACTCCTATAAACCGAAGGGTTTTTGGGAAGCAGACCAATACATGACTAGTACCATTTTCCAAACTAACACTAATTTCGGCTCATACTACAAGAGAAATACATTTTTAATTTGACTGTTCTATTTCTTTAAAAATGTTTATTAGGGTGCTGCAAGTGTTGGGTAAAAAAAAAAGTTAAGTGAAAAGGAAAAGTCAATATACAGTAGCAAAGTATGCACGGTCAATGTAGAGAGTTGCAGTTGGATTAAGTAATGTACAGTATTAAGGGACACCACAAAGCTCTAAAATGGAATGATTTGCGTATTTTCCAATGTTGTCCTCAAAGTTGAACAAAATGTGCCCCTCCCTTTTTTAATTTTTTTTGTGGCCCTTAAACATGTGGCGGGCTTTCCGTGCAGTTTTGTTGTAGTTGACTCCCAGATGCCTGGTACAACCACCGGAATCTTTTCTCCATCAACTTCTAATTGAGCTTAGATTGGAAATCTTCTGAATCCCAAACACTTTGACCTATTCAGCCGATTGGTCATTGGGGTGCCTATTTGACAGGCAGCCCAATCTCCATTTGTGTAAGGGCTGCCTGTCTGCTAGTCACCTCTTTCCACAACTTCCTGGATTCACTTCATCCTTTGCAGCTTCTCCTCTGCTGTCTACTTTCATTTACTAAGGACTACAGATCCTGTGGTGCCTTGTTGCCTGCAAGCAGTGAATCCTCTACCAACTCCACCTCCTGAAACTGCTCCTCTCAGCACTTCTATCGTTCAGAAAGCAGGTTCTATGAATTCTGTGACACGGCAGTGTCTATCAACAGAGCAAAGTGAATACGAGTCATAGAATTCAAGGGATTAAATGTGTGGGGACCTTCACAAAGCAAGTTTACAAACATTTTGACCATAGATCCACTTTGAGAAAACCATATACAGTGAGACATGATAAACATACTGATAGATACATACCTTAACCACTTGACCTCTGGAAGAGTTATCCCACTTCCTGACCAGGCCATTTATTGCGATTGACCACTGCGTTATTTTAACTGACAATTGCGCGGTCATGCAATGTTGTACATAAATAGCATTTGTATTTTTTTTCCCCACAAATAGAGCTTCCTTTTGGTGGTATTTGTTCACCTCCTGAGTTTTACATTTCTTGCACTATAAACAAAAACATTTTCTACTTTCTGCTATAAAACAAAATCCAATAAAAAAAATGTAAAAAACCAAATGCTTCATAAATTTAGGCAAGTATGTATTCTGCTACATATTTTTGGTTAAAAAAAAATCACAATAATCGTACATTAATTGATTTTCGCAAAAGTTATAGCATCTACAATCTATGGTATATATACTGGAATTTTTATTTCATTTCATTTTTTATACTAGTGATGGCGGCGATCAGAGACTTATAGCGGGACTGCAATATTGCGGTGGACAACAGGACACTAACTGAAACTTTGTGGGAACCAGTGGCCCTAATACAGTGATCAGTTCTAAACGTATGCACTGACACTGTACTAATGACACTGGCTGGGAAGGGGTTAAACATCTAGGGTGATCAAGGGGTTAACTGTGTGCCTAGCTAAGTGTCATGGGTACTGTGTGTGCTATTTTTACTAGGTAATGTGCTGGATTCTCCTTTCCCGCTCTGCAGGGAAGGAGAATCCAGCACATTGTCACTGACAGGACACAGCTCTGCCCTGTTTACATAGGCAGAGCTGGGTTTTGTAAGTCTCCTAGACGATTGGCAAGTGCTGGTGCTCATCCATTGGCTGGCACCCACTGATTGGCTTCTGCTGTGACGTGCCGGTGGTGCATGCACGCTCCCATGACCGGAAATTGCAGAATCACATTTATATACATGATTCTGCATAGCATGGCTGCTCTGTAGCAGTAAATCTGCTATGGGGCTGTCGGCAAATGGTTAAAGTGAAAAGCTTAATACTAACTATTCTTAAAAACTGTATTAAAAGTGTTCCCTCCTTTATTCCTTTGTCGAGCTTTTCATGACACAGGGGAGCCAAAGCTGCAATCATGTGACTGGACTAAAAAAATGGGAAGTATACAGATCTTTTTTACACAGGGCGGGTAGCATAGGTAGGAAGAGAGAGGAGAGAACATTTTTAAGAATTCTATACAAAATGCTAGACAAAATAATTTACTTCTACAATATCTAATTAAACGTTTTGATTCTTATTCATACATGTGTGATGTACTGGACTCCCTTTTTAAATTTGTGCTTCTATACATGGACAGTATTCATAAGCATGTGCCATATCATGAATGACAGTATTGATTTATAGTGGCCGAAAAGAGAAATAAAAATGGAGCCCCTTGAAACTTGATGTAGAAACAGTAAAACCTAGCCAAGAAGTTAAAAAAAAAGTGCAATAAAGTCCCTCAAACATTTCTTTCAGCAGCCATCTGCATGAGCCCTTGACCTTCTCTGAAATGATATACAATTATATTCTGAAACTTTTACCTTAAATTATTTCCACTGATTTGTCTTTCTTCTTGTCCAACAATTTAATTTAGCAAGAAGTGCTGGATATGTACACAATTAACTTGCACCGTATTGAGAAAGACGTCCAGAGGTGTGATCGCAACTATTGGTATTTCACTCCCACCAACCTAGAGAAGCTTCGAAATGTTATGTGCAGGTACCCATTATTTACAAATACTGTGTCATGCCCTCCAAAAACACTTTAGGTTGAAAATACAATTGTTCTTGGGTTGTTTGAGATGCTAAAATAATTCAGAATCCATTTGCAGGTGGATTTGTCATGCAGCTAACCTCCTTCTTATCTGTATTCGACCTGTTTCTAGTACAATGTTTATTGAAATAAAAGGTAGGCATCACACAATGAGTAAAAGGAATATTTGGTACCCATACAATGGAAAATAATAATGAAAGCAATAGTACTACACCAGTGGTTACATTTTAAATGTACAGCACTATAAACCAACTGCCCCGACCAACGGGGCTTGTCATTCCCAAATGATGGGCCCGAGGGACCCAGGTCAGAGACTAAAAGAAACACAAATATAAGGGGGGATGGAAGGGTCCCCAACCTCATCTGCAACTGGGAATGGATTGGGGGGGGGGGGGGGGGTAGGAGGGAAATAAAAGGGAAGGAGAGAACAGGGTAGAAATCTGAGGGGGAGAAGAGCAGTGAGGAAGAAAGAAGAACAAGGCAAGTAAGAAGAAGAGAGAAAGGTCATATTAGCTGGAGGCACCAGTACTAGCTCAGTGCATTTGACCTGTTTCAACCTTTTTTGAATTCCTATAGACTTATGGGAATGTAAAACCTGTTTGAAGCACACAAAGCATGTAAGCACAGGCTTTTGGGGTGTTTTGGAAAGATTGTATGAAAGAAAACCAGTCATAATAAGGTCTTTGAAATAATCTGAACATTCAGTCTAAAATTATCTTAAATCAAAAAGGTTTTGGGTGCACCCCTGGTGCAGTAAGCTTAACACAAGTTATTATTATTAAACAGGATTTATATAGTGCCAACAGTTTGCTCCGCGCTTTACAATATAAAGGGAGACAATACAGAAACGATACAGTTCAATACAAGAGGGTTAGGAGGGCCCTGCTCCTTGGAGCTTACAATCTAAGAGGGAGGGGCTGGTGGTACAAAAGTAATAACTGTGGGGGATGAACTGATAGGAGGAATAGAAGAATCCTATTTAGTTGAAGACAGGATAGGCTTCCCTGCAGAGAGAGGTTTTCAGAGATCGCCTAAAAGTGGGCAGAGTAGGCGATAGTCGGATAGATTGGGGTAGAGAGTTCCAGAGGATGGGGGAGGCTCTGGAGATGTCCTGGAGATGAGTATGGGAGGAGGAGACAAGGGAGCTAGAGAGCAGGAAGTCTTGCAAGGAGCGGAGAGTACGGTTTGGGTGATATTTGGAGACAAGATCGGTGATGTAATTTTTGGCAAAGATATAAATGTCTTTATATGTTATTGTTAATGTTTTGAATTTTATTCGTTGGGTAATGGGAAGCCAATGGAGGGATTGGCAGAGAGGGATGGCAGATATGGAACGGTTAGTAAGATGGATGAGTCTGGCAGCAGTATTCATGATAGACTGAAGAGGGGATAGCCTGCGATTAGGTAGGCTAATGAGGAGGAGTTACAATAGGCAAGGCGAGATATAACAAGGGAGTGAATAAGTTGCTTAGTGGTTTCAGAGGTTAAGAACGGGCATATCTTGGAGATGTTGCGGAGGTGAAGTCTACAAGATTTGTACAGTGTTTGGATTTGGGGCTTAAAGGAGAGATGGGAGTCTAGAATTACACCTAGTACCCTGGCATGAGGGGGGGGGGGACTGATGGTTGTGTTATTGATCTTGATGGAGAAGTCAGAGGATGGGGCACGGGCTGGAGGGAATATTATGAGCTTCGTTTTGGAAAGATTTAGTTTGAGGAAGTGGAGTGAGGTGAGGAGTAGAAATATAGATATGTGTGTCATCAGCAAAGAGATGGTACTTAAAACCATGGGAGTTGATCAAGTGACCAAGGGAGGAGGTGTAGATGGAGAAGAGAAGGGGTCCAAGGACAGAACATTGAGGGACCCCTACAGAAAGAGGAGGTAGAGAGGAGGAGACCGAGTTATAGGTAACTCTGAAGGAGCGCTGTAATAGGTAGGAGAACCAGAAGAGAGCAGAGTCTCGGAGGCCAAGAGAGTGGAGTTTTGTTGAGGAGGAGGGGATGGTCAACAGTATCAGAAGCTGCAGAGAGGTCAAGTAGTAAGAGTATGGAGTAATGGCCATTGGTTTTAGCACTTAGTAAATCATTAGTGAGTTTTAGTAGGGCAGTTTCAGTGGAGTGTACTGAGCAAAAGCCAGACTGTAAAGGGTCAAGAAGGTTATTCTCAGTGAGGTAGGAGCTCAGGCGATTGTAGACTAGGCGTTTTAAGAGTTTAGAGGTAACGGGAACAGGGAGATGGGTCTTAAATTGTTCAGGTTGGTGGGGTCCAGCAAGGGCTTTTTAAGTATGGGAGTGATCTGTGCATGCTTTAGAGGGGTGGGAAAGGTGTCATTAGAGAGGGAGAGATGGAAGATGTGAGTGAGGGAGCATAGGACAGAAGAGGAGGGGGACTGTAGTAGTTGAGAGTGGACAGTATCCAGGGGGCACATGGTGAGACAGGCTTCTGAGAAAACTTTAGTGACCTTTTCAATAGTAGCAAGGTCAAAAGAGGAAAGTGTTGAGGGAGGTTTAGTATAAGGTATGCTAAGTGGGATACATGTCTGTGTAGTGATGTCCCTACAAATTGCATCAATCTTGTTTTTGAAATGATTTGCAATCTTGTATGCAGTGAGTGAGTTACTGGGTGGAGGTGGAGGTGGAGAAAGTAGAGAGTTAAAAGTAGAGGAGAGATGACAAAGGCTGGATGACAAGGTATCAATAAGAGTGACAAAGTAGGCTTGTTTGGCAGCATGGAGGGAGGAATTGTATTTTAAGAAAGCAGATTTATATACGGTGAATGCTTGCTGGGATTTGGTTTATGCGCCACAGTTGCTCCAGTGCACGACTATGTCTCTTAAGATTTCTGGTGTCGTCAGTCTGCCACGGTTGTAATGGTCAGGGCGTTATACCTCGTGTAGTTAGAGGAGCAAGTGAGTCTAGTGTGAATGAAAGCGAACTGTTGTAGACAGCAGTGGCCAGGTCAGGGCAGGACATGGAGAGAGATTCTGTCATAGAGGTGGTCAGTTGCAGAGTAGAAAAGAGAAGGGTTTAAGTTGTGAAGGTTTCTGCGGGTAATTTGCTGCTTGGAGGGATAAGTGTTTGAAGACGAGGACACTGTGAAGGTGATGAGATTGTGATCAGAGGGAGGAAAAGGGGTGTTTGTGAGGTTGTAGGGAGTGCAAAGATGGGAGAAAACAAGGTCTAATGTATTCCCATCAGAGTGAGTGGAGGACTGCATCCATTGTGTTAAGACAAAAGATGACGTTAGGTTGAAGAGCTGGGATGTAGCCGGGTTGTTCACATAATGGGGATGATAAAATCTCCAAGAATGATAGTGGGTATTTCAGAGGAGAGAAAGTAGGGTAGCCTAGCAGAGAAGTCATCAAGAAAGCGTGACACCGGTCGAGGAGGCCGATAATCACTGCAATCCTCAGAGAAATGGGAGAAAACAGCCGAATGCAGTGTGTCTCGAAAGAAGCTAAGGATAGAGAGGGAGGGTTAGGGAGGACTTGAAAGGTGCTCAGTGGGGATAGAGGCAAACCAGCTCCACCTCCTTTCCAACAACTGGGTCTGGGTGAGTGGGTCCAGAGGAGGCCTCCATAGGAAAGTGCTGTGGAAGAAGAAGAATCTGCTGCTTGAAGCCAGGTTTCTGTAATTGCTGGTAGGTTAAGGAAGTGGGAAACAAAAAGGTCACGGACAGAGTGAGCTTATTACAGACAGAGAGGGCATTCCAGAGTGCCCATGAAAAACGGAGCGTGGTTTTTAGGAGTATGGGGATTGAGATTAAATTGAGTGGATTGTGGCTATTCCTGGAGGAAGGAGGTGTGGGGGTGAGATAGTGGAGGACCAGGGTTTGGGGAGATACCCCAGAGGTTAGGAGAAGGAGGGTATATGAGTGCACATGCCTTCCTGTCCTGGTGTTTGGGTCAGCAGGTGAGTAAAGTATTAGCAGGATGAGAGTAGTAGTAGGGAGATGATAGACGTGAGGGTGATATGTAGAAGCTTTGGGGTGGAGCAGAGGGGTAAAGAAATTAGATTTTGAGAACAGAGGATAGTAATATGAAAAGGAGGAGTAGAGGGGGCATATTAAAAGGTAGATGTAGTGGGAATCATACTTGTAGGAGATGTTTCCCAGGGTGTTTTTTTCCAGTTTATCCTATGTGCAGTAGAGTTCTTTGTTGTATCTTCCTGCTGCTTGAGTTATCCTGCTTTAGTTAAACTGCTGTGCTCAACTGCTGTTTTGAACTCCATCAGAAAAACTGCTGCAGCTGCACTGCTGTGTTCAACTGCTGTTTTGCACTCCAGCAGAAAATGCACTGCTATGTTCAGCTGCTTTTTTGCACTCCTGAAGACAATGCACTCACGCAGGACAATGCCCCCATCTTTTGCAAAAAGTCAGTGCATAGCAGTGAGACAGTTTAAGGAGGAGATCACACAACTGTGTTTATGCAGGACAATGCCCCGTTTGCGGCTGTGCCCCCCATCTGTGCAAAGTATTTGCACACACAAACAATTCATGGTATAACTGCCACTCATGAAAACCTCTGATATAGGTATCCGCCAGTTCAGCAAGAAGTGTCAGGATGGATCGATTGAAAATGTAGATATACAGCAATACCGCATTAAAAGGTTCAATTTATCGGTATAAAAATAGCAGTTCCACTCACACATATGGAGTAAGTGCTCATTAGTGGCCTCTGATGGGCAAACTTAGTCTGCTGTGGCCAGAGAGCAAAGTTTGACATAGGACTTTACAAAGTGTAGTAACCCAAAATGAATTGCCAAGTAACAGACACTTTACAGCAGTCTGAGGAGTAATGTCTTTACTCCACGGCTTACTGCGATGCCACTGATTTTTGGCGGGTCTCTGACTCCACAGGCTGCCCAAGAGGCCATTGATAAGCACTTCATGCATTTGTAATATGAGTGGAACTGCTATTTTTATACCAATATATTGTACCCTTTAATGCGCTATGTGGTATACATTATCTGTGTTTTCATTAGATCCAGCCCAATACTTGTTGCAGAACTGGGGGATGCTGATATCAGAGGTTTCATGAGAGGTGTTCACAAGAGGTTTTTACAGTATGCCATGGATTGTTTGTAAGTGCAATTATTTGTGTCTACTTTTTTCCACTTATATTAAGCTACCTGCATCAGTGATGCATCTCATGCCTGTCTTTTTGTGGTTGCCAGTCAATTGTGACATCCGTGCTGCCAGACCTGGACTTTAAGCTATACTTATTCTTCATAGATTGTTTTGAACATGTGCAGTGACCATAGGGAGGAATCCTTTAAAGGCAAAAGCACAACTGAACACAAAAAAGTTTTTTTATTCTAAAATTATCCTAAATATGCAAGTTTAATGTTTGTATCTCCCCCCTTATTTAACCTAACTTACTTTATCAAAGGATGACCCTAGGCTTGGGAAGTTACTTGAGGTCACTTGAAGTCTGATAATTGCTGTTTTTTTCAACAGCCTAGTTGAGTGTGCATAACAAAATAATATAAAGAAGCCCTGTGGCTAAAAGAAATGTAAACAAGTTAAGGGCTCTGTGTTTAATACATTTGTGGTTCCATAAGACCTAGAAGACAGCGTGTTATCAGTGTAAGTTTAGGCATCAGGTACAGCAACTGTCAGACTTCAGCAATCCTCTCAGCTCTGACTCGAAGCTCCAAGAGTCATTCTTAGATAAGGGTAAAAACAAATATTTTATTAGGTAAGTCTGTAGAATTATAATAATGCAAGAGAGTGTGGGTGCAGAATGAATATTCAGACTTGCAGAAACTCAGTTTCTTTCTGGTTCTCATGTACCAAAGAATTCTAACAGGATTAGTGCCCCATCATTGGTGTCAGTGGGAGGAATATTGCCCCATCATTGGTGTCACTGGGAGGAATAGTGCCCCATTGTTGGTGTCAGGTGGAGGAATAGGACCCCATCGTTGGTGTCAAGTGGTGGAATAGGATCCATCGTTGGTGTCAGCTGGAGGAATAGTGCCCCATCATTGGGTTTTTTACTACCCCTGCTTACCTCAAGGTAAGTTCAGCATGTTTTAGATACTCACCCATCCAGTGGATCCAGCACTGTCCAGCTGAGAACCTCTTCTCTTCTGGAGGCACTCTGTCCCATGCCACCATGTTTGGCTGTGGAGTTATCGATAGGCTGCTGGCTGTTCCAGGTTCAGCCAGCATGCCTCCCTATGATGCGTAAATAGGCCCGCGCCCTCCTCCTTTCCTGATTGAAAGTCTATGCCTCCTAGGATATATGATGTGCTCTAGGAGGCTAGGAAATCAAGGAGAAAAAAAAAGCTGGAAGAGGGGTGGACCAGAGGGATGAAGTTTTTCAGGGTGAAGATCCGCTTTAACAATAAGATGATATTAATAACATAATTGACGGGTATAGCAATTAGGCCTTACAAAGTGATGTTTGGTTTCTAGGAGCAGTTTCATACTTTCATTTGAATTCTGGTTTTTGATTATGAAACTAGGTTCACAGTAAATAAGGTAAATGTATATACATTTACTGGCCAATTTAAGAATAGATTCATTTTCACACTAGATTGTTATTTTCATTAATACCATGTTGAGTATTGCTGCTTGCCAGTTGTCCTGCTAATGTTATTCTTCTTCTTGTACCTTTTTCTCAGCTACGTGTGGCAGCACATTGAGATTGGATATGTACAAGGGATGTGTGATCTGCTGGCTCCACTCTTGGTAATACTAGATGATGGTATGACATATTAATTTTCCTCTCAAACTGGAACTTCACTCTCTCAATCAACATTGGCAATTTTATTTATTTATTGTATTTATTTATTTCAAGGGGTACTTACTGTATATAGCGCTGTCAATTTACTCAGCGTTTTACATATATACAGTGGGGATCGAAAGTTTGGGCACCCCAGCTAAAAATTTGCATTAATGTGCATAAAGAAGCCAAGGAAAGATGGAAAAATCTCCAAAAGGCATCAAATTACAGATTAGACATTCTTATAATATGTCAACAAAAGTTAGATTTTATTTCCATCATTTACACTTTCAAAATAACAGAAAACAAAAAAATGGCGTCTGCAAAAGTTTGGGCACCCTGCAGAGTTAATATCTTGTAGTGCCCCCTTTGGCAAGTATCACAGCTTGTAAACGGTTTTTGTAGCCAGCCAAGAGTCTTTCAATTCTTGTTTGAGGTATCTTTGCACTTTTTACCTTACAAAAGTCTTCCAGTTCTTTGAGATTTCTGGGCTGTCTGTCACGCACTGCTCTTTTAAGGTCTATCCATAGATTTTCAATTATGTTGAGGTCAGGAGATTGTGAAGGCCATGGCAAAACCTTCAGTTTTCGCCTCTTGATGTAAACCCCCGTGGATTTCGAGGTGTGTTTAGGATCATTATCCATTTGTAGAAGCCATCCTCTCTTTAACTTCAGCTCTTTCACAGATGGCATCAAATTACCATCCAAAATTTGCTGAAATTTTATTGAATCCATTTTTCCTTCTACTCATGAGATGTTCCCTGTGCCACTGGCTGCAACACAACCCCAAAGCATGATTGATCCAACCCCATGCTTAACAGTTGGACAGAGGTTCTTTTCATTAAATTCTGTGCCCCTTCTTCTCCAAACGTACCTTTGCTCATTCCGGCCAAAAAGTTCAATTTTAACCTCATCGGTCCACAGAACTTGTTTCCAAAATGCATCAGGCTTGTCTATATGTTCATTTGCAAAGTTCAAACGATGATTTTTGTGGTGAGGACGTAGAAGAGGTTTTCTTCTGATGACTCTTCCATGAAGACCATATTTGTACAAGTATCTCTTTATAGTGGAATTGTGTACCACAACTCCAGTGTCTGCCAGATCTTTCTGGAGGGATCGTGCAGTCAAACGTGGGTTTTGAATTGTTTTTCTCACAATCCTGCGAGCTGTTCTGTCTGATATTTTTCTTGATCTTCCAGATCTTGCTTTAACTTCCACTGTTTCTGCTGACTGCCATTTCTTAATTACATTCCGAATAGAGGATATTGACATCTGAAAACGCTTTGCTATCTTCTTATAGCCTTCTCCAGCTTTGTGAGCGTCAACTATTTTCAGTTTCAGTTTTCTAGACAACTGCTTAGAAGAACCCATGGTGCTGATTGTTGGGGCAAGGTCAGATAAGTCTGGGCATGTAAAACCTTTGAGATTGACATCACCTGGTCTTCCCAGACGATGATTGAGAACAATCCATGACACTGGCAGGTCTCAGCTTTGCAAAGGGGGCAGTGCATGCTATAAATTCTGCAGGGTGCCCAAACTTTTGCAGATGCCATTTTTTTGTTTTCTGTTATTTTGAAAGTGTAAATGATGGAAATAAAATCTAACTTTTGTTGACATATTATAAGAATGTCTAATCTGTAATTTGATGCCTTTTGGAGATTTTTCCATCTTTCCTTGGCTTCTTTATGCACATTAATACAAATTTTTAGCTGGGGTGCCCAAACTTTCGATCCCCACTGTATATTGTATATTCACATCAGTCCCTAACTTACATTCATACATACACATTCTAGGACCAATTTAGACAGGATTCAATTAACCTACCAGCATGTCTTTGGACTGTAGGAGGAAACAAGTACCCAGAGGAAACCCATGCAGGCACAGGGAGAACATGCAAACTCCAGGCAGATGATGCCGCGGTTGGGATTCGAACCAATGACCCTAGTACTGCCAGGCAGAAGCTCTAATCATTTAGCCACTGTGCTGCCCATGCTATTTTAATATTATGCTGCTAGCATTAGTAAATAGATAGGAAAGTATATCATATTTACTTGTTTTAAACTTTTTTTTACATTTCTTCAATTAATCCTGGTTTCCTGCCTAGGCAAATGATGTCATCCCAGCAGTTTTCAGGAGGGGAGGAAGGGTTCTCAGCTGAGCCAATGCCTGAGCTAAGCGCAGATGAATTCCAGGAAGTAAATGCTACATGAATCATTTGCCCTTACTCAAAATGGCCACTGCCAGAAATGCTAGGGGGTGTTTTTCAAAATTATTTTTAAGCAAAATAAAACATGGCGACATGGATAGATGGGTGAATTTGTGAATTTACTTTGGATATTAACAATTAAGTAAATAGCATTTTTGGTTTGTGGTGCTCAAATGCAGTGCAGTTCCACTTTAACTGCCCATTTTAACTGTTACAGTAAATTGATATCAGTTTTTAACAGCCCATATTTTATTTCTTGACCTTCTATAGCTCTTCTAGGTTACCCCTAGCCAGCAGCTCTCTATGTCCAAGTAGAAGCTTAACCCCTTCACGCTGGCGCCTCCCAGCCCTTTAAGAGTTTCAGAAGCTGGGAGGTGGGGTGGGGTTTAGGGTCATGTGACCGGGAAAGGTCCCGATCGAAAGAGGAGATTGGGACCTTTCCGTGAGTACCGGACATATGTGATGGGAGCGTGTAGGGCGCGCTCTCGGCACATATGTCCTTTTTTAATAGAACGCAAATGTGTGGCCACTCAGCGTCTAGGCCCAGACGCCCTGAGGCTGAACATTTGCGTTTGGCCGGCATGAAGAGGTTAAATTTGAGGATAAAACTAGCGTATTCAATACCCAACTTTATCCCCATGTTATCCAAAATCTGTACTCACCTACTTAGCTGTCCTCTATTGTCTCTAAACCTGAGAACTAAGTGATCGTGTGAAAAATGGAGACATGAAGACACTGCAACTGTTACTGATCACTGTACCTGCCATGATTGTTCCACAGAGGCCCTCGCATTCAGCTGTTTCACTGAACTCATGAAAAGGATGAACCAGAATTTTCCTCATGGTGGTGCCATGGATACACACTTTGCAAATATGAGATCTCTAATCCAGGTAAGTTTAGGGTTTTGTAATAAATGTTCAAAGATTAAGAAAATTTACAGCCAGTCATTAATCAAAATGTATCAGTTGTTATGTGAGTAACAACGAAAAACACATAAACATTGGGGTGGATTTACTGAAAGAAAATAGACTGCACTTTGCAAAAGCAATTGCACTCACTTTCCCCAGAGCTTAGTAAACATGGTAAAGCTTCACTTTATAAAGAATACCCAATCAAGGGCAAGGAAAATTTTTAAAAAAAACAGCATTTTTACTTGGATGCTGGAAATCAGCAGATCTTTGCCATATTTACTAAGCTCTGGGGAAAATCAGTGCAACTGCACTTGCAAAGTGCACAGTTTATTTGTCTTTAGTAAATCTACCCCATTGTCTTAAAACACCTTGGAATCCTTTAGGCTTCAGATGCTGAAGATTTGAACCATTTTATTTGTTTTTACGTTCTTTATTGAGGCTAGTTGTACAGAAGAAAATCTAAATAAAATATGGCATAGCAAAGCAAAGTGTGATTTACATTGTTATATAAAAGAGTGGTTCTGAAGAGTCCAAAACTTACATATTGCACAGTATTACAGGGTTAATGAATAAGAGACATAGGAATACAGAGGTGTTGACTGAGAGACATCACAAACAAATATTTCACAGCACACTTACCAGCTAGCCTGCAATCAAACCAAACTGATCATGTCTAACAATTCACATTAAAAACAGAGGGTTTTGTTGCACACATGTGCAATTATATGTGGAGGCCGAGTGCCGATGTCAAGGTTTCTCTGTACACATTGGATGCCCAGCAAGAGCATGTCTTCTGCTCCTCTGTATATAGGCCTAGACTCTCTACCAGTTGCTCCACACGCACACCGTTTATATCAGGCTGGGACCTAATGAAGATTGTGAGTGGTTCTGCAGCCAAAGTATATAATGGGGAGAGCGGACAACGATGTCGTGTTCCCCTGAATAGAGGAGAAGGATGATGGAAACCCAGCCATTTATCAATATGTACCATTTTAATTTTAATCTTCTAATACACATGATAGCCCAAAGTAGATGAGATTCACCTGGTTAGGGCGCATCATAATATTCAAGATAAACATATATTCCAGATTATTATACTATATGCAAATTATTACAATTCCTTTACCAAGTCCATTCTAAACAATAGACTTCATTTGGAATGAAAAGATATTATGTTTATTAACATCGAAATGCTTACTAGACTCATACTGGTGTGCGGATTGAGTATCCCTAATATAAAAAACAAACTATGATGCAGTAATGCTTTCCAGGTCCCTAGACTGACATTTAAAGTGTTACCAAGTCCACAACAGTAAAAACAGTCTTTATATGCAGTAAAGCATGCTTGTTCTACTCGCTGTGGAATCTAAGGCCATTTGATTCTGTTTTCTCCTCTTGTTCAGATGTCCACCTGTTATTTCCTAATAAGACAGGCTGAACCCGTAGCCACATGCACATGCTCAGTTTGGTGTGTATTGCTAGAGAGTTTTTTGTTTTTTTTCTTTGGAGAGTGCATGTGATCAGCACAGGGCCAATCAGCACTGTCCAGACAGAGGGTCAGGGGTTTTGCAGCCTCCTAGAGCAGAAAGAAAACTCCTCCTACAAGCTTTAACCAGTGCTCTGCTGGACACTGATAGAAGTCACAAGACTGCTCTAACTGCTGATGAGAAAAGGGATTTAGCAGTTTATATTTACTAAAATAAATGCACTGGTGTGTGCTGTGGGAGACCAGATAGAGTTAATGCAGGGTCCTGGGTTTAGTAACACTTTAAACTCCACCCGTTAGATATTTATGTCCATATTATGTTTTTTATTGTTGTCTTTGAATACCAATAATATATTTTATAGGAGAAAAAACACAAACACATAAATTCCCACTGCAGTGCACCTATCTGTAGAATTAACATGCCCATCCCTAAAGCATATTTCCACTGTTGCAATCAAATTTGAGAAAGTCCCACTATATGTTGGTGTTCCCAGGAGGAGGTGTCATGGCAGACTGCAAGATTTTTTGCAGTGTTAGAGTGAGCCTGTCCCAAATTCTGTTCTCATTAACAAACACTGTGAGAAGCCCAGCCGCTACACTTTTAACCCTTTGTTAGGACTGACTGTTCAAAGCTTTTTACAATTGATAATGAAGATCTGCCTGCACATTGTAGAGAGGGTAAATTATGGCAAATACAGCTGCCGATCCCACACATAAACAAAGGGAACCACCTAGGATTTTCCTTCCTTCTACAGCAACACCTATAAGCACCGTTGTGTGCCACAACTACAGGTAAACATAACACATCTATGAATAAAGTAAGGCACCGTAGAAATGCCAACACTGACCTGACACTTTAGTACGTTCTCAGTCACTGACACGGATGAAATGCAGATTAGAAAAGTGGAATAAAAGTCAGGAATCTTTAACTGCATACTTTTTAATGTCACAGACTTAAAGCAGGATTAACCCCCCCCCCCCCCCAGATAATGCGATACTTTGCAATTTACCAGTCTTTAAATGTGGTGACTGCATTAGTTTTCTTGTTTTTAGGCTTTTATCCCCTTATTTTCATCTAATGATCCAGCCAATAACATACTGCTGTAGGGTGGCAATTACCCGGTCATGCAATGCTGCACCAAATGAAATTTGTCCTTTTTTTTTCCCACGAATTGAACTTTTTCGGTGGTATTTGATCACTTGTGCATTTTTTATTTTTGTGCTATAAACAAAAAAAACCTGACAATTTTGAGAAAAAAAACTATATTTTTGACTTTTTGCCATTAAACATGTCCAGTAAAAAAAAAATCAAATTTCATCATAAATTTAGGCCAAAATGTATTCTGCTACATGTCTTTGCTAAAAAAAATCCCAATACATATATACGTGATTTTGCGCACCTGTGCCGCCCTGTAGCAATATAGCAGTCATGAAGCGGTTAAAACAGTAAAAAACTATTTTGGTAAAAAAAAAGTTTTGCATAAATGAATAAAAGCTAACCATTGTAAGCACCCCTGTCTGTGTTAAATGGTGTGTCCCAACACTGATACTTTTGCTAGACAGCTTGATCTGGTATTGGAAGTTAAAAAATAACAGTCTTACCGAAAGGATCACCAAGTAAGAATACAGGAGAGGAGAAAAAAAACGACTAATGCAGACATTTAAGCATTAGTAAGTTGCAATATTCTACATTATTCCACTTTAAACTATTGAGACAGTCAGCATTAGAGCCAAGCAACAAGCATTTTTAGGAGATACCTGCAAAGACAACATCCATATTTATTTCCCTGAAAGGTTTTCTTTTAATGAGAACATCATTCCAAACTTAGTTTTGGATAGAGTGCAGAAGGGTTGGAACCCCTGTCAAATATTATATTGGTATCAGTGTCCCCAGTAGAGAGTTTTTTCTTCATCTCTCCTGTTCCAGTGATGGTGATGTCTGAAACAGTAGAGCTCTGTATATTGGGCACTGCAATGTCAAGACTTGATGACAGAGGGAGCAAGTATTAGAACCTCTGTCAGGGTTTTACTATTATAACATTATTGTGCAAATGACAATTGCACAATAATGTACACTGATAACCTCTATCTTTTCTGTCTTAAATATTTCAATTTCAGATTCTGGATTCTGAGCTTTTTGAACTCATGCATCAAAATGGTGATTACACACACTTCTACTTTTGTTACCGCTGGTTCCTTCTGGACTTCAAACGAGGTGAAGAATTAAGAAATGCTTGATAAAGGGATATATTCATACTGTCACACTTGAATGTGTAGGGCTACAGACTGCCACCATGCTTGCCTGCCAGTGAAACACATCTGGACCCTAATTCGTGCTCTTCTTGTGACATTTGCCCATTTTCGATTGTGAAATTGTATACCCTAACCTAAACGTACACTACTAGAAGAGTAGGGTGCAGTTTCACTTACACTGCGGTAGGAATAAGGTGGGGAATGAAAGGGGGGTGGGGTGGCACAAGGCAGCTGACCTGAAGTGGTAGGAATTGCACTGCAACTTCCGCCTTGCACCCTTCACTACACTCCTTGGTGTTTCTGGATTTTTGCTTGATATTCTGTCTCTGTCATTTAAAATACACCTATGATAAAAATTTATAGACCCTTCATTTCTTTGTAAGAGGGCAAAGTTACAAAATCTGCAGGGGATCAAATAATTTTTTTCCCCACTGTATGTATACGTAGAGGCTTCTAAGAAGAGTATTATGAAACAATTGTTTTATGTGAATATGAAATACAACTACAACTGGCCTTGTAATGTTAAGTAAACAGACCTTATTATTAAAAAGTTCAGACAAAGATTTACAGAAGCTGAACCAAAAGATGTGCAGTAATATTCACAGGAACCGCAACGTTTTCAAACTAAAACATTTGGATATATTATTATTATTATACAGTATTTATAAAGCGCCAATAGTTTGCTCAGCGCTGTACATTACAAATGGGGGACAGAACATGTGACAGAACAATACCAATACAATGCAAAACATGAGGGGATTGAGAGCCCTGCTCCTTGGAGCTTACAATCTAGGAGGGAGGGGATAGTGGTACAGGAGGAGATAGCTGTGGGGGATGGAGTGGTAGGAAGAGTGGAGGAGGTCAGCAGGTTAGCAGGGGGTGGGGTAGGCTTCCCTGAAGAGATGGGTTTTCAGGGTGCGCCTAAAGGAGAGGAGAGTAGGTGATAATCTGATGGGTTGGGGCAGGGAATTCCAGAGGATGGGTGGCACCCTGGAGAAGTCCTGGAGGCGGGCATGGGGGAGGAGGAGACCAGGCAACTAGAGAGAAGGAGGTCTTGTGAGGAGCGGAGGGTGCGTGCTGGGCTTGGATATTGGGTCAGAGATGTAGTACGGGGCAGTATGGTGGACAGCTTTGTACGTCAGTGTTAGGATTTTGAATTTGATCCGTTGCGCAATCGGAAGCCAGTGGAGGGATTGGCAGAGGGGGGTGGCGGAAACGGAGCGGTTGGAAAGGTGAATGAGTCTGGCAGCCGTATTCAGGATCGACTGAAGCGGGGATAGCCAGCGGCGAGGCAAGCCAGTGAGGAGGGAGTTGCAGTAGTCGAGTCGTGATATGATGAGGGAGTGGATGAGCTGTTTAATGGTTTCTGCGGTTAGGAACGTGCGTTATATATAACTGTTCACCTTGTGGGCAAGTTTTTGAAATTATGCTTGGTGGGGTTCTACATAGACATACTGAATAATCTGAAGTGCTGATTACTTTTGGCATTCCATTTAGGTAAACCTCAGTATGAATTGCTATTATAGAGAGAATTTGTGTGACTTCATTTTCTTCTCAGATCAATAAATGGGGAAAAAAGAACTGTTTCTTCTAGCTCTACTGCAGGAATGGAACATTTTGCAAGCTTTCTGGGAAGAAAGTTATCAGTGGCTGCTCTTCCCTCTGAACTATAATTTCCAACTGAGAATTATTTTAGAATACCAAGTGATAGATATTGTTGCTTACTGTATATGTCTCTATTGTGAGATCTATATGGCTGGGTAAAACCATAATGCCTCGTTCACACAATATGTGCAGAAAAACAGATGGAATACCACACAGATTTCAATTGCAGAGAATGTAGTTTTTACATCAGTTTTCATGTGTGGTTCAGCGAGTTTTATACATGTTGCAGATTCCTGGGCAGAAAAAAATCTGCACATGACACTAGTGTTGTGGTGTGAACAAGGCACATAGAGAACAACTGTTTTCCTTGTACCCTTGTAGAACACATGCAGAAAAACTCATGTCTCTGCACACTGGAGTAAATGAAGCCTAAGACACCATGGGCAGGAAGAAAGGGGGTTATGTTAGTTTGCATATTGACAGTGATTGTCAGTGTTTTATGAGGCTTCTATTTTTCTGTTTAACAGAACTGGTTTATGATGACGTGTTCTCTGTATGGGAAACCATCTGGGCTGCGAAGCAGGTGTCCTCTTCTCACTTTGTGCTCTTCATTGCTTTGGCTTTGGTAGAAGTGTATCGTGATATCATTCTGGAAAACAATATGGACTTTACAGATATAATAAAGTTCTTTAATGGTAAGTCAACTTCACAAGCTATTCAATGTATACCTTGAGCTGCATTTGTAGGTGCTGAATTAATTGAAAGCTAATGGCAGTATCCTTGTTTTAAAATTGTCTGTTTGTGCTGGCCATTGAGGGACGCAGCTAAAGTGGATCTAAATTTTTTTTACCTTAACGCATTTCCTGCATTAAGGAAAAAAATGTTTATGTAGCAGTATCGCCCGCTTGCTTCCCCCTTATACTTACCTTAGTCCTCACTTGATCCAACGCTGTGCCCACATGTAGCGACTTCTAGGAACAGGGGAGTGCGGGCTATGTATTTCCATTGATGTACGCAGTGCAGAGAGGCATAGCTCCAATCCCTGCATGCAAGGGTGGCTCTATAGGATGTTGCAAGAGAAAGGAGCCACCCTGAAAAATGAAACTTGGGGCAGTGATCATGGCACCACCTTAAGCTGGAATTAAGCAAAAAAAGGCTATTTACTCAATAAGTGAATAAATCAGCTACAGAGTAAACCCTCTTAGGTTAGCACCTAGCATCTTAGGTGCTAGGACAAGGGTTAAGTGTTAGGAGAAGGTTAAAAGTTAAAGGCCTAATTAGGAGGTAAAATAAATGCTGCTCCTCCCTAGATACAGTATTGTGAGTTTTTTCACCCCAGGATGGAATTGTGTAACTGGCAGTATCACTGGATGAAAATAAAGAACAAATTGCTGCAAAGCAAGCCACTGCCAGGGCTTGGAAGAAGCCCTCAATTGGGTTCACAGAGGTGAGGAGCATTTTGACCACCCATATGGTCCACGAGAAAATGACCAGTATACTCCATGACTCTCACTCCAAATTCCTCAAAGTGTAGAGCATGTGGTGGTGTTCTGCCCTCCCCCACTCTGCCCCTAACCAGTCTTCTGGACCACTGTGGAGCTCCACCTAACCTGCAGGTACCTTCTTCTCCTACCTAGCCCTGCTTTTCTTCTTCTCTTTTTCCTGACAACTTTCTGCCTTTTCTATACTTATTTTCTCCCCTTTCTTCCCCACCTTTCCTTGCCCAACCTTCTCCGCCCTTGTTTTTTTTTTTCTCTCTCCCTCCCTTATGATTTTAATTTTTCCCCTCCAACAAGGAATGGGAAATCCTACTCCTTTGTTTTGACCAAACCTGGGCCATGGTGCACGGACACCACCGGAAGCTAAATGCTGTTGCTCCTTTGGATAGTCCTGAAAATATGCTACCTCTGTAATGACATATTTTTTGAATTGTCTTGATCCCCTGCATGGGACTTGCCTATTCAGTTTGCTCTTTCCGTCTCAAATGAAAAAAAAAACCGATTGTACCAGAAAATAAAGGAAAAAGGCCTGTAAAAACTAAAAACAAATGTAGTCACCACATCTAAGGTAAGCTGTCAGATAGCACAGTGCATGTCCAGCAAAACTTTTTCTTTTAGTTTTATATACAGTAGCATTGGAAAGGATTAGATCTCTTATTGAGTTTTTTTTAACTGCTACCCAGGATCAGTTAGAGAGTTTTACCAGATCAGAAATAAGGGGAAATCTCCAACAGCAGCCCAGGCATAAATAAAAGTACCTTTTTATTTTCGTTTATAAGGGCAACCTCTCAACTTTTTATTTTTGTCTTTGTCACTTACTGTCTAGTGAAACTCTTGTCACTTTGATGATAAATAAGGGAAAAATTCTTTGTTAGGGCACCAGATAGCATTAAAAACCTGACCGGGGTTTGTCCTTTCATACTCTATCCAAAACTAAAAGAAAAAGGTTTAGCTAGACATGAACTTCAAATTTTTATTTTTGGGTTTAGGCACTCTTTTAAGTGTTAGGGTGGCTTAAGAGGTATGGCATTGTTTTAGTGGAGAGGTTAAATTTTCAGGTAGGGGAAAGTTAGGATGTGCTTTCTATGTTAGGGACACTTATTGAAAGTTGTGGGGTTTTTTTTTCTTCTTTTAAGCAGAGAGCCCACGCTGAAAACTACCAGTGCTGGAATCTGGACACCCAAAAATATTTTATAATTTTTTTTATTATTTTAGGATCACGCTTCACAAGAAAATCACACTACAGATTTAGCAGTTGTTACCTTCACTGCCTAGAAATGCAGTTAGCGAGGGGCAGAGGCGTTTGTTAAGGTTTATTGAATTCTACTTTGTTTACTAATAATCCAAAATCTTGCTTTGGATTTGCTGTTTTTTTCCAGTGTATCACATGTCATTTCTTTTCTGTACTTCAGAAATGGCAGAGAGGCACAACATAAAGCATATTTTGAAGCTTGCTCGGGATCTGGTTTACAAAGTGCAGACACTGATCGAGAACAAGTAAATGGGTGCCATTGGGAGAAGCACAGCCACATTCACCACACCAGAAAACTTCCAACACCATGGAGCCCTGCAAATCATTTCTCAGCAATGGAATCAGGTCTCAAAAGAAGCTAAAGGGTTATAAAATATCTAATCAGCCAGTTTATTTACTTAAGTAAGTGCCAGAAACTGAAGCCAGTTTTAGTAGCAGAGGAAATGGCTACTACAAGAATGAATTTCCCATGTTTTTCTTTGTTTAACTTTTTTTTTCATTTGACCTTGTGAGTTTATTGTTAAACCAAAGACCTCAACACACAATTGCTCCTCTTGCTGATTTCAGATTCTGTCTGTAGAAGTTGGTGAGTTTGAGTTCATTTCTGATCCTTCCTAGTGGTTACTGTTGATACACAGCGCACAGATCATAAGGAGGGATTGATAATGGCCATAGTTAGAAAACATTAGCACAAATAGAGCTCTGATGTATAATTTATTTGTAATGATAGTTCCAATATAACGTGATTTCACTTTCTGCACATAACCAGCTGCTAATTTCTGTACATTAATCTCCACAAGGGTCCCCCATGTTGTCCTTCTGGAGGGCCAACATGTACACTTTCAGATTTTATTCTTCTTAGTATTCCTAGCTGGCTACACAGCGTTATCACTGCAGGGAAGCTTTATAGGCACAATGGAAAGTTTAGAAGGGGGAAATATATTGAATATATTTATTTTTACTGAAACTTCCGTTTTTACATTTATTTATTTTGATAGATGTGGTATGAGAATAATTGTGGTTGTCACTAACACTGAAAAAAGAGGCATTAGTTGTGATATGCTTAAAGATTTGCGCAGAGCTGAAAAGTAAAGACACCAGCACTCTGCAAATCCCAGCTGTGAAATAACCTTTTGCAGTATTTTTGTGTTCTTACGTGCAGGTCAGTAGGAAGGGAGTACACAACACAAGAGGGTAGCATTGTTCATTTTTGCAAGGAGCAGAATAAGCTTGATCTTTCCCACCTTTTCCTGTTTATATTAGCTGAAGCATACCATAACAAAAGCAAGAATATTTTAATTTGGCTTTTCATGCATTGTAATGTTATGTAGTCATTTTCAACAGTCAGTCCACAAAAACATTTTTTTAATTGTTGAGTCAGTACTAGCAGCTTGAATCATTGACCATCTCTACGAGACTGTGGTTTAAGATGTCTGTAGCTGAGGTCTCCAGGTTACCCATTGTAGCAGAACCCCACTCTAAATATTCAATTGTTTGTTTATTTTAAATTAATGAGACAGCATAAAGTAAAGGTAGCACTTAAATTTGAGCTGCATTAAAGTCCATGCAATGCTGACAGGAGGCAAGGTGATTCAGTCCACCAGCAACCACCCAGAACTATAATATTGGTTTATCTGGACTTGACCTATCAATCTTAAGTGCCACTGTAATGAATACAGAATTGGAGCACATGCATTTGTAGATTTTACCTGCCAAATGAAATGTAAATATATATACTGTTGTGATCAGCCCACCTCTGTTGTGCTGCTGAAAGCTTACTCCTTCTATGTGCCATCCTCCAAAGAATATTTAACATTGAACTCACGTTAGGAACCCCTGCTATAGATGCAGTAGTTAGAGGGTGAACCATATGTTCAGAACATGGCACACCTGGCCTTTATTTATACAGCATTACATTTGTGACTCTCTGCAAATATTTAACAGTTCTGCTCCTCATAAAAGTAGTTTTTTTGGAGAAAACTCTGTTAAAGCTATCCTGACTTACTGCTGTAGAGCAGTTGTTGCCTGTCCAATATATTTTTTCATGTAAAATATGAAACAGTGAGTCTTGCTGCCTCTCTCTACAGAATTGATAGGACCAGTGGGACACAACATTCATTCAGAGTTTCTATTCATGTAGTCTGCTCCTTGTTGTAGTTCTGCTACTCACATAGTACATTTCAAACGGAATACACTGCTTTGGAGGGCATGTCAGACGTGTACTTTCCTAACAGTTATTTTATACCGAGACTCACCTCCCTGAAACCCCACGTTGAACTAATATTCCCAATGTAGAAAACAAAGGTAAATTGTGAACAGACTCCTGTCTGACAGGACAGCAGGCATAGTACCTCCCAGTAGGAGACAAGACCCCTGTGTGGCGCTGCCCTTAGTCTTCTGCATTTAACAAGAAAGAGCATGCAGAATTTTATTATTAAAATAGTGGGTGTAAATGCTCCATTTCATTGTATAAATAAAACAATGTCAGTGCCAGTAGCTTACTGTTCCCCAGAAAGGCATTTTAGAAATGCTTACCTATTTTAGTTAGATGAATTTGCTTAGGACTTGTATTGAGACTCTTGTAAGAGGGACTTTACAAGCCTGCTTACTTTGTCTTCAAAAGTCATTGAGAAAGCATGGTATTAACCAAGCGGCCCCCAAACACCATTTGTCATCCCTGAGGACTTAAGAACCTGAGTAAACTTGATGAAAAAGTTACTATCCTAAATCTGTATTTTTATGTTATCTTTTTTTTGGTGTTGTTGGCAAGTGGTGTAGTTGCGTTAAAAAAAAAAACTCAGCTAAATTATATTTTTATTAAAAACATGATAAAGTATGATATTTGGGGATATGGCTTCAGGTCCTACAAAAAAGCAACTTTGCATATCCAGTGTTAAAAATGGCTCTATAACTCTATCATAATATAATAGGTAATTATCTTTGCTGTTTTTGCAAGTACATTTGTGTCCTCAGATATCAGTGTTTTGAATAACTTATAATAAGGGTAAAGAGTATTTATTTATTTATTAACTTTACATTTCTGTGTGTCCTTGTTACAGTTAGTGTGTGTAAATCATTTTATCAGTAAAGGTATCTCTTAAATGTTGCAGACATATCTTGTATATGTGTTCAGAAGAGTCTGTTTGTGTGAAGAGATGAAAAACACATAAAGAGTGATGTTATTTTTCCAACTTTCTATGAATGATATGGATCACAAAGCATATATGATATTCAGTGTATTGCCTTTATCCACATGTTATCGTTCTGAATGTTTATTTTGTTGCTTCTCCGGTAAAAGTTACTACAGATATTATGTGTTCACCAAAATTTTTGTGAGCTGTCTACAGAATTGTACCTTTCATCCGTATTAGGGCAGAGTTAAGTCACAGCAGTGTATATACACATTTCCTCAGGATACAAGAATATAGACTCAGTTCACAAAGCTCTAACACCAGCTTAACGCTAAGCACATTTTGGCTGGTTCCTAATGAACCAGCCAAAATTTAACCAGTGGGTGACTATGGCAGCCCCACTCTGCCTGAAATTCTTGAATTGAAAAATAAAAAGAGGCAGGTAGAAATTTGTTAACTAAACAGCGCTGACATCCAGTCACACACAGGCACTGTTTTGGGATTCTCACAGCCAGCAATGCAATAGATGCAGCATTACATTCGTCTCTTCGCAATGTGTAGCATGGATGAAGGAATTTGTTAGACCTTTTTCTTTCAGCCTGCATGCTTTATCATTTTGCACTAATGAGTCAGCAGATTTTGCTGATCACATTTTGGAGTAAATATATGGAGGTGCACAAATTACTTACTTAAACATTAAGCTGAGAATTTTGATTATCTTTGATTGTGGTGGTACAGGCAGCGAGGTGGGTAACTGGTATTTGTTCGCTTTGCAGTGAGGACTTTATTTCACCTTTTGAAAGCGATGACAGTGTTGCTTTAAAGTTTGGACTTCTTAACAAAGTCATACTTTTTGAGAGATGGATAAAAAAGAAGCTAGATAAAGTTGATAACAGACATTTTGTGTTGTCTGCCTTTGGACCCTAGTACAGTTTAATTTTAAAGCTCAATTGATTCTTTAGTTTAAAACAGTTAAACAGGTGAATCAAAACAAAAGGTGCTCAGTGTCTTACAGTTTTTCATTTTTCATTAGCAGCTACAGCCTGAGTAGAAAAGCCTGTACCTTGCCAGTAGCTGCAGTGTTCTCTGTGTGGAAGCAGTGGTCTCATTGCAGAGGTCTGACACACCCCCTATTGAGTCAGACCTATAGCTCTGCAATTGGCAAAGCTCAAAGCTGATTGGAGAACTGTGACTCTTACTCTGCCAGGGGCCTATCGGACCTCTGCAACATGAGTGATGTTTCACCATAGAGAGCTATGGTACCATTCTGCAGCTGCTGGCAGGGGGTAGGCTTTACTACTCAGGATGTAGCTGATCTAGAAATAAAATTAATTAAAAGACATTAAGTGCCTTTTGTTTTAATGCTGTTAGAATATATTTAGCTTATTTAAACTGAAGGTTCAATTGGTCTTTTAACTCTAAACCACCTAACTGTAATCTCCTAAAATAAGGAAACACCGGCCCAATATATATTGTGACATTGCACCCCAGCCTATTGAAGTTATTCAATACATTTTTCTTTTTAGGACACAATGGCACATTGAGTAACACAGAATTGCCTTTTTGTAAAAAAACAAAAAACTACCATCTAAAAATTATTCTTGGCACCACCAAGAAGAATGCCATCTCTGCCCATCTGTAGTAAAAAAAAATATCCCCCAATTATAGATGGAATCAACTGTGTGGATTTTAATTAATCATGTATTTTACAATACAGACCTCCCATATGTGGCCCATCTGTTTTTATAGCTTCTTTTTACCTTGTGTAAGGATTAGTTCATTAATAAGATGTGTATCATTTATATCCTCATTCTAGTGCAAAGGAAGACTAGATATAAATATATAGATATATCTCTCTGAGTAAAGCCTAAATGATGCCATGCAACTATGTATTATATGCTTTTTTTATGAGTCACTGCCACCATTTGCTAACCCATCCATTATTTCTGCTCATACATTTAAGAAAACTGAGTATTTTCATTTGGAAACATTTTTTTTTTTTAATTTAAACTTTAATTGGGCCCTGATCCTTGTAGTACAATGGATCGCCACACACATTTCTTTGTCTTGGGCCTGGGAGTTGTCCAACATGTGTATCACAGTGAGTCCACTTAGATA